TTTTGACATTTTGCTGGATAAAGACCTTAAGCCGATTCTTCTTGAGGTCAATTCCAGCCCAAGTTTAAGGATTGACCATGAAGAGGAGGTGAGTCCTGGGAAAGTGGAATGCTTTGTGAGCACAACTGATCTGGATATCAAACTTCCAATTGTCAAGGACTCCATGTTTCTTGCATGGCAAAACAGAAAGAGGTACATGTACAAAGTGGTTACTTATCAAACTATTATAGTACTGTTATTTGTTTACATTACCTTCAACAAATTATGGCCGTTTTCACACAAGAGAAGGATAATCCATCAAGACAGATGGTATAATCTGTCTGATATATTTTCCATCTTAGTATGGATTCAAATTAGATACTTTAAATTTGCCTTGTCACGCTCGCATTCACATCCAATGGATGAACCATGCCTTCAAAGCTCTACTGAGGTTACCAATCCATTACAGGCTAGTGGTGGAAATTGCTTATTAATTTTAAAGTCAAGAAAATAGGAAAATGAAAAGCTCTATTTTACTACTTGATTGAAAAGCTTTAAAATTAATCAATCTGGAAATTAACACTTCCAAGAAGTCCCTTTAGAGGTTATGTATCGGATTATATATCCATCTCAGATGATAAGACATAAGGTACTGGTACATATATATACAGTGCACTTCTTTGTTAGCTGGACAACTGGCTTAGAGATCCAGGGAGGGAGGTATGCCATATATGGGCTATAAAGGTTACGTACCACTGTGAAGGGTATGGTTTTCAAGCAGTTTAGTCTAGGATAGGGTATAGAAATCAGAGAGTCTGGGTCTAGAATAGGGTATAGTTTTCCAGGAAACTGATCCTTTAGTTGAAGATTTCACATGTAGTCTAGACAAGAGATTGGGAGATTGCACTCAAAAAAGTGAAATCGGCAGATTGAAATTTACCCGTAACTCCCTCAGTTGTAATCAACAGCAAAGAAAGAGTCAACTTCACTAGTTTTTGGAAAAGTTATATCAACTCTTACTCTAGGATAGGGAGGGTTTTTGGAAGTTTGGTCTAGTGTACTAGGTAGCAAAGTTTAAAAGCTGCACAAGGTCTAGTAAAGGCTAAGGGTTCCAGCCTGGCCCCAGCGGAACTGGGAACTGTTCCTTGCCATCTGCCTTAAATATCTTCTGAATGGTACAACTCTAGCTCATTACTTCAACTAAATGGCAATAAGACCACCTTTAAATCTGCTGCTATTTGTGAATAACTGCATTGTTCTATTCTTTGTCAGTGATGAAAATCCTCCAGAGGTGTCAGGATGTCTGCATCAAATTTACCCCAAGCTGGCCTCGCAACTGGATTACTTCCGAGTAGTGGAAAGGTGTCTAACATTGTTCAGACACTTTGTAGGTGTCCGCATGTCCAACAAGATGGGTCCAACTTCGTTCAGAATGATGGCAAGGTATGGTGGTGTGTTTCTTTTCAGTAAATGAAAGTTGTCAAATATGGTGATAATTCCATGGTGTAAATTATACAGTCAATATATTGCTACATATGTTTCAGGGCCGCTCGCTGCCATTGTAACATTTCAAGTTGTTGGGTGTTTGCAAGTAGTAGGCGGGGAATTGAACTGCTAGAGAATTTTATGGTTTTCTTTTCCTATGAATATTGCCAGGAGTGATGCTAGTAATGTGCAGGCTGTGAAATCCATAGTGACTGCAGCCTCCCCCCCCCCCCCCCCCCCCCCCCCGTTTTTCGCCCTAAATTTTTAAAAAAATTAAAAAAAAAAAAAAAAAAAAAAAAAAACCACAATAAAAAAGTAAAGGGACTGGGGAGAAAAAATTTTCGGGGGGGTTTTTTATTTCTTTTTCGTGGGGTCCCTTTTTTTTTTCAAAAAACAAAAAAAAACCACCAGAAAAAAAACAGACTCAAATTTTTAATACAAGATGTTTTGACGACCTCCGCCCCCCACACCACACCTCGCCTTTTCGCACTTTTTTTCTAAGAAATCAGACGGCACCCTCCCTACATTACCAGGCCACCCGCCCCCCACAGTGCCCCCCCCCCCCCACCGCACCAAAGCCCCCCCCCCACCGCACCCGCACTACAAACAGATGTTATACAGCATTGATGAGGAAAATTAATACTATCAACAAATTTTACACCGATCTACCTGTAACGTGTATCATTGGATTGTGTTATTTGTAGACGATGTCGTCTAACAGACTTTGGCTTCACGCTTGCTGCATTTGATATCATGTTTATCAATATGAGCCGCCGACATCCAGCATGTGAAACAGGCCGTGCATCTCTCAACTTCAATGGTTTTTGTGAGTCACTGATTGCAATTGGACATAAAAAGTTTGCACTGACCATGAGGCGCAATCCAGTGCAAATATTGTTAACTGTTTTGATACACTGTGAGCAACACTTACGGTTAGAAGTGAAGGCTAAAGAGGTATCATCACGACAGAGGACAATTAACAATATGCCACCATCCAGACTGAGTGAACGAAAAATGAAGAGTTGTTTTCATTTGCCCACAAGTCCTCTCATCAAAGAAGGAATCCTGTGAAGAACCATCCACCACGATTACTAACAGCCTGTTAAAAATAATAACCATACACGTGGCAGCCTAGTGGCAGATCCAGGCGATTGGAAGGGGATGCAGACCCCCCTCTAAATAATAATGCACCCAATTATAAACTGATCCGCAAGAATAATAATAGCCAGTTCAGACTGGTAAACACCTTTAGGTTACTAAAATAACTTGCACAATAAAATTTGGCCAGTCAAGAGTCCAGTCATAAAAAGAATTCCACTATAGTCAGGACTGTCCTGCCAGATCAGTCTTTAAAATAAATGTATATAAGGCACTAATGGGCAGAAAATGGCTGGTCTGGCTGACCAGTCCTCTCTTTTGACGAACACCTCAAGTGTCTAGTAAGCACTTTGACACCAAAGTTATTACCACTGTAGGACGGCATTTATAATTTATTATTAAAAATGACAATGCAGAAAGTATCCCGTCAACTTGTAAACATATGCGATTATTCTGTGATCCCAAGGTTGCTGACTGTTGGTACTGAAACATAAACTTCACATTATTATTTTTGTAGGACTTAAAATGTAACCTTTAGTATGCTGTTCAACAGACACTGTTTTGAGTGGCAGTTAAAATTAATGTTTTTGACATGATTTAACTAATTGTTAAGGGTTATAATGTACGAAAGACTTACCGCTGAATTGTGAGTCAGACACAAGAAAGTACTTGCAGTCATGCAGTGGCTCAAATTTTGCTTGCCGTGCCTTGGGCAACCACTTGCTTGTCTTAGTTTATGATTTTAGTTGGAAGATGGCTTGCCTTACCCTGTGAGCAGAGGACCTTCCATCTTCCTATCTAGGAAGATCAAAGGGCCTCTGCTCGCAGGGTAGACTTTGGGCAAGTCAGATATAAAAGGTACTTGCCTATTAAGAATAAAGCTTCATGTACTTGTCGCAATGGGACTCTTTTGGAGCCCTGTAGCATAATATGGATCTTCATTATTAATAGAAGCAGAAGTGTGGAAACGATTAGCTCCGAATATTAGTTTCAATGGTGAGCTCAAAGTTTTGATTCGTTCAATTAAAATTCCTATATTTTCATCCAACCTTAGAGGGAGTAAGGAGATGCACAGGCCACCCAGGATAAAAGAGAAGTCTTCAAAGGTTTTTGAACTTGCAAGGTCATTCAATTAATGTTGACAATGTTATTGTTTTGTATTCCTTCAGTTCTATTTGTGAAAATGGAAAGTGGGGAACGAGAAAATGGAAAAAATAGAAATTGAGACATTTTAAGCTAACTGGAATTTTAAGGTGTTACCATGAAAATTATTACAATTCCTATGTTTTAGATTATCTGGTCAAAACAAACGTGGTTCGTGGTTATGAAAACTATCACCTGTGTTTATTTTTGTGCCAGCCTGTTCATAAAATGCTGCTTTCTATTAGCTCCTTCTATTAGCATTTTAGAAAGTTTTAAATAGCTTGCGTCTATAATCCCCAGGGATACTGTATAGGACCAGGGTTGCCTAGTCCCTAGGCCTCATTATTCCACACGGCCAAAGCATTTCGGGTCACGTGGTCCAAGCGAAAATATTTCCGCCCGTTCGTCTTGGATACGTCACCGAAATGAATTGACCGATAGGGACTGGGAAAACACCGTACAGGGACAAGGTAAGGACCAGGGCACAACTTTATAACAGATATTTCACTATTAACAAAAACAAGCATAGTTATTAAAGTTGATCCAAACCTGTACAAAGTTTTTCTTGTTCTTTACTTTTAAAGTACATTATTCCATCAAAGTTGCTGTGATCTCAATAATTTGTTTTTCTTAATTTCAATACTGACATGGAAATTTAACCCAGAGTTGTTAATTACTGGGTATTGCATGGAATCTTTCTTTTATGATGACGTAATCGCAACTAATAAGTCCATGAAAGCCAGTCTAGCAGTAACAATGATCTTGACTTATCTAAGTAAAAAAAAGATCACGCCATTTGCTGGGAATTGATAGTAGGTTTATTCTTGGTTACTTTGAAAGCCTGACTCATTAAAAATAGACATGTTTCTCCAAAAGTTACATTTGTTTAATGATTTTTATAATTTACACATTATACAACCATCTATTGACCATCTACATTCTACAGTAAGAATGCAGTATATTCACAATACATATACTCTTCATAACTTAAACTTGATAAAATGTCAGTATACATTTCTATCACATTTATGTGAAATTTACCATCAAAGGAATAAAAGAGCAGGATGTGCTACCCCTCACTCAAATAGATTCCATAGATTTCATAGCTAGTATACTACTTCAGATGCATTTAGCTGTCTTTAAAATAGAGCAACAACTATAATTTTAATTATCATTTTTTTTAAACTTCTCCCAACTAGTTTAAAGAAGAAATTTGCACAGTGTAAGTTTGCACAGTGTAAGTTACGGAATCTTTTTTATGGTAATTAGTGCATGAAACCCAAGTCAAAAAAAAATTGGTCCTTAATGTACATGTCCAGTGTGGACCTTGAACTCATTAATGAGAGATATAATATTTTTATTATTTAATTTTCCTAAAACATTTCCAAATTTCCCTTAACTCGAAATAATGATGAAAATAAAAAAATTAATAAATAAAATTTTGGCTGTGCAGCCAATCGTAATTCATGGCAAGTTTGACTTTACTGTAAATTACTGTGACCAAACCCTGCTGCCAGCTGTGTAATGTCATTTTTTGCTCTCAAGTTCTTCTTTCCACTCTTTCAATTTCTTTGCACCAGCTTCAAGTGTACTGTCCTCCTACAAAGTGATTAAAGAATCTAAATACAGTTGAACCTCCACGTATGACCACCTTCTGCAATCGACCTCTAAAATCCTTGTATTTTTGGGTGGTCGCCAAGGTTTTAGCCGGAAGGGTGTCCAGCCGTCCTATGGACACCCATTTTTGGAAGAAATACAATGTACAAGGAAATTCACTTAATAGATCTGTTATAATTTTATGGAAAAACATGCATTCTGGACAGCCAGTTTTCAATGTCTGGCTTAAAGCCTAGTGGTCGTTTTATGGGGGGTTTGACCGTACCACTACTTATTACACTCAGAGTTTATTTAACAAATCCACAATTTTCCATACACAGTAGACAAAAATGTTCAATGAGTGGCAAAATGTTCAAAACTCATTCACCAATGGAACTTAAAGAGCCACAGGAGAGAGTGTTTTTTTTGGCAGAGTTTATTTAGGTCATTAAAACAGTTATATAAAGCACAACCACAAAAATGTTATTTAATGACAAAACTAGTGCCACCAGATCAAGAGGCTGAATACTATTGCATACTGACCTTGATAAAGCAAAAGCGAATGTACTTGGCTCCATAGTGTTTATTCTGGGCAGAATAAAATGCACTTGGGGGAATAGCGGCAATTCCCTAGTAATTGAGACATCAAACTGGTTACTGAGTGTTTACCAAGATATTAATGAAAGCCTTACTAATTACATACAGTCGAAGCTCCGCTAACGACCACCTCTCCACAATGGCCACCTCTCTACAACAGCAACAACCACTAATGCATGTCCCCAACTGCCAAAATAACCTCTCAACAATGGCCAGTTTTTTGAGCGACTGAGTCAAGAATGGTCACGAATTGATCTGTATGGCACGTTTATGATCAATTGCAGCAATTGTATTTTGATTTTGTTTCATTTATACAGCTGCAACATTGCGAACCTTGCTTGTTTTGTCACATTAGCATTTTGATTCATGACATAATTCAAGCTTCTTGTGTATTTCATCTCTATACAGTATTGATTGGATTACCAAGACTATGGGATACAGTAAGCATGAACTTAACACAAAAAAACATGTACAGTCGACTCTCTCTTAACGGACACCTCTATAAGACCAACACCTCTGTAAAACGGACACTTAAGAGTTGGTCCCTGCTTTTCTTTACTCCCTTTATTTGACTATCTATAAGACGGACACTTAGTGCTGGTCCCAAAGGTGGAGTTGACTCTACTCCCTAAAAAAATTGTCATATAACACCCCAACCTCCCCATAACGGCCACCTTTCCACAACGGCCACTTTTTTTCTGCCCCCCTTACATGGCCGTTGTGGAGTCGGTTCGACTGTACTCTGAGTAACACATCTGGACGTCACATCTCCAAAATGACTCAAAATCATGGTAAAACAAGATATTAAATTAAAAAGGGAAACTGTTCTTTCAATGAATTGAAGGTCCCATGCAAGAACAGAGTTGCCCTCTTTTGACTTAATACTCTTTACATACAAGACCTGGAAGTTTTCTAAGATTTGGAGAAATAAAACTCAAGCAAATTCAGATTGAATGTTTTTCACTTTATCCATTTGATAACCTTCACAAAGCCCTATGTCAAACTGAAAATTAAATTCTATGATTCCTCAAATTTTTCCCTGACCTTTTTTTGTTTTTTGTTTTGTTTGGTTTTTTTTGTAAGTGTTAACACTTAAAAAACACCAACACCAACATCAGGCACCTTTGATTCAAGGTTTGAGTGTGGCCTTGGATTAAACATATAACATTCACTATGTTAACTGGCCCAGAACAATACAGTGCTGTTATTATCAGTGTGAAAGTTAAGAGCAACAGGAAACTCAATACCTTTTCTTTGGTCAGCCAGCGTACAAATTTGTAGTCCTGAGGGTCATCACTTTTGTCATATTCATCAAAATTCACATCTACATTTAACATGTATTAAATAAATATGACTTAATAGCATGATTTCACTTATGGGAATGAAAATAATAATAAGGTTATTTTGTTTTAGTGATATATCCCACCTTTCAACATCATAATGGAGAGGTTGACTTAAAAGGGGGCTTAAGCAACGACGATGGCAACGGCAACAAGAATGGCTAAAAAGCATTTATTGATTGAGATTAGAAAAACAACAACTTAATTTGCACTGTTGCATGCATCACGCTTCTTTTTGTTGTAGATACAGTCCATTAGAATCAACTCCAGAATAGCCCAACATTAAACAAATTGTATGAATCGAACAAAAGTATTATTAATAAATTTTGAAACACCGCAAACTTGCTTTCCAGGTGACGTTTGCGCTGCTGTGGCTGTCATGGTTGCTTAAGCTCCCTAATAGCTCTGGGAAGGTGACCTGTTACATTGCCACACTACTGTGATGTGACAGCCAAAATCAAATGTACTGAACTTTATGCCCTTCTTAATAATTTTAAGCCACTGCTTTTCACGCAAAGATGGTAATCCTAATTATTGTTACACCTTTTCCACATCAGAAAAAAAATGCTTCGTGAGATTGATTGAATAGTGAAAAAGGCAAAAACTAGACTGAGTTTTCCACTGAAAGTCATTTAAAGTGTTTAAATATTGAGCACTGAGATAGTACAGTATATGCATTACTCAGCAGAGAAATTATGCAGTTGTTACAATTATTATGTATACAGCATTTTCATTAAGAATTCTAGTAGCAGGAGAAAGGTGTAATGTTACCGGAGAACATTTTGAAAGAGGCTCCACATCTGAGAAAAAAATAATCATAGGCTATTGAGCGTTAGCCGGAGAATTCTGTGTAGTTAATGGAGAATTCTCCGATCTCCGATCGATGCCTAATGAACACCCATATATAATAATTTAAAAAGTATGATTATATGAAGTGTATTAATAAAAACTGTCATTTTTCAGTGGTGGTTTATATTAATGCAGTTCCACTGTATTAAAGCAAATGATAAATTTTGGCAAATGACTCCAACGCCGAAAAAAAGGTCTATATTTTAAATTACTTTAAAGATCAACTCTAATTCTTGTACAAGGAAAAGGCTTATCAATCAAACTTGCTTTACCTATGTCAGAGGTGTCAGCCATCATAAAATAGCCTCCCTCAGGAATTGTAGGCTTGAAGCCGACATCAGTGAGGAGTTTGGCCATGAGATCACGTTTTTTCTCCAGCATACTGCTAAGTTCCTTAAAATATGACTTTTCTGTTCCAACAAGAGGAATCTCATGTTCAAAAGCTTGTGCTAGGGCTTCCTTTAAATAAACAAGATAAAAAGAATAGAATGAAATAATTACAATCATTTATTTAGTTTTATAACAATTAAAGAAAGGAAGTAGAATAGATTAAATGGGGATGGGACACACATTACATTTTCAGGTTGATACATTTACGCTGTCTTGAACTAATTCAATCCCCAGTATCCACATACAAATCAGTCCTCCACACTGATCCCCATACATTTCGTTAAAAAATAAGCTGAGAGAATTGAGAAAGATCAAGGAATTTTCCCTTAACCCTTTAAGTCCCAATAGTGACCAACACCAATTTTCTCCCATCCCACAATTTTTTCTGTCATGAGACTAGGTTATGAGAATTAATAAAATGATCACCTAAGAGAAAATTCTTTGATCTTTTGTCAACTTCTCTCAACTCATTCTTTAAGGAAATATACAGAGAACAGTTTGGAGAATTTGTATGTGGATATTGGGGCTTAAAGGGTTAAGTGACCATGTTTATTAATTCTCATTATGTCTTCTCTTGATTACGTATGCATATTATCAGGAGAAAATTGGTCACTCTTGCAACTTATACATGTAACATGTCACAGGTTAAAAGAATTTTGCACTTGAAAGGAAAGTGCCAAGCAGATATAACTTTGCATATCATTTTAAAATATCACAATAATGTTAAAATAAATTTGGTATCAAATAAAAAAAATAATAAAATAAAGTACCTGTGTTGGCGTGGGAAGGGTGTATGTCACTTGTGATTGCACTGTTTGTAAATTCCTTATTAATTCTTTAGGACCTATGGACCAACCAATCTGACAACAACAACAACAACAACAACAATGAATGTATTTTTCAGTCTCAAATTTTAAACATAAGCTGTATTTTTCCACATTTGTACCATAAGGATGAATCTATTGCAGTTAATTTTGTTTTTCCTTTGTTATAAATTCATTAGCATACATTACCATACCCAAAAACAATGGAAAAATAAAAATTAACTGAAATAAAAAAAAATTAACTACAACATATCCATGAGAACAAGTAGGGACTTATTTGATGCGTATTGACAGGGAACTGAATATTAAAAATGCAGACACAAGATTCTCGACCGACATGTACCTTATTATCAATATTGTCATTAATTTTTATAGTAACTGTTTACAATAGTTATCATCTTGCACCACCATCATTGATCATCTATCATTTATTTACTCTCTTCAAAAACTATTATGATTTTATGTTTTGAATTAATTCTTATTATGGATATATGCTGCAGTTAATTATTTTTTTATTTCAGGTCATTTTAATTTTTCCTTTCTTTCATATTACTTAGCACAGTACATTACCACACCCAAAAACAATGGCAAAACAAAAATTAACTGAGATAAAAAATTAAATACAACAGATATATTGGACTAATCTGTTTAAAGTGCTAGTAATTTTTGGAGAAAAAGACGCATCGTGGAACCATATTTCTTTGGCTAGCTTTGTCATAGACTACAAGTAGTCCCTCATTTTTCCTCAGGGATAGTAGAGAGAGCGAAACGAGAGGCGCTTGATTGAAAAACGAGGGACTACTCGTAGTCTAGCTTTGTCAGTATGAGCTGGAAAATGCTGTAGAGCTGAATCCCTTACCTTCCACCCTGTCACACTGAATGTCTTCCCAGCACTGCCAATTGTTACTGTTCTCTCCCACATTCCAGGTAAAGTTGCTAGTGATGAAATAAAACAAGACAGATAAGAAATAATTAAAATTTGTACTTTGTAATGCCAATAGATGTTAATACCTGTACATATACTCTGCTCATAAATGGTTTGCTTCATTAGAAACAAATGTTAATCCTCAAGTCGAGGCATTCAATATTTTAGTGCAAGGGATAAGTATACAGCATGATACTCCACTAAATATGTGAATGTTTGGAATGCAATGACTTGTATCTCACGGCTTATGAAGGGAGGAGTTTTTTTTTATACTGTACATGGCAAAAAAACTGCAGGACCTCTCAGTTTCGTCCTCAAATATATGTCAGGGACTTCTCCCCCAAGACGAAAAAAAGAGAGAGATAAAACCCAGGGTACAAGTTTACTGGATGGAAGGAAAGACAGAATTACCACTCATTAGATTCCAAGTTTAAGAGGTACGAGTTCCTTACCAATCCTAATGTGCTGCATTCCATTGTAGACAAGCCACTCGTACACTTCATCGCTAATACATATCACGTTGTACTTTTTGCACAAATCTGCAATGAATTGTAGCTCTTCCATACTGAGCACCTAGACGATTTATTAAACAGTTCAATAAAACAGTGAAAGGTTTGAACTCAGGAGTCATTTCATAAGTAGGTTGAGTATGATCGTCTGGGTGAACGTAGTCCTGAATAGGATGTTGACAGTCACTGACGCTTCAACAACCTGTGTGGTAGTCCTCTTAAGAGTCAAAGACTAATCAGATCAATAACCAGAGTTTATTACCATCAACTGAGGTGATACAACTCACTTTGACTCGGAAGATGACTTAACTGCACAGGTTGTCAAAACATCAGTAACTGTCAACAATGTTCAGTCCTGTTCAGGACTGCGTTGCAGCAGACGATCATACTCTGACAACCTACTTATGAAGTTTCCAATAACTTAACAAATACAATTGAAGCAACTCTTATGTCAATTAATAACTCTTACGCCGATTAATAACTCTTACGCCAATTAATAAATCTACTTTGCCTCATGTATGTAGAGGAATACACAATGTGGATCTTCACCTTTCCAATAGGATTGTGTGGAGTGTTAATTACTATTGCCCTAGTCTTCTCAGTAAATGCCGACTCTAGTTCCTCCTTATCCCAAATCCAGTCCTTTGTGGAAGTAGCATTTTCTTTCTGATGAAGAAAATCACAACAAGAAACCATTTAAGAAAACTCAGTGGAAAAAACAACCTTGCAAACTGACAAAAACATCAAACTGTACAGTATGGCATGGTATACTCTTTTCTTTTAGGGTAAAATTGATGAACAGCTTTTGGTCATTTGTCAGCCCACTGTTGGTCATCTGTTGGCTGACCGTCGGTCATCTGTCGGTAGACTGTGGTTACAACAGATTTTTTGGGGAGCTGTTCTTCAATTTTACCCTTTTGTGTATAGTCGTAACTGTGGCAGAGTATTCACATGATCACAACATGATTTAATACATGCTACACATGACATCGTTTCTTTTGCCAGGTTCAAGTGACTAAGTGGTTTGAATAATAAAGAGTATAATTGTTATAAATACTTATTAATTATACATAACTGAAATTACTTTCAAAGTAGGCTTACAGGTTTAAGAGTGACAAATTTTGGAACTCCACCAGCAAATGCAATTTGTGGCACATAGCAATCAAAAAATGGCTCAATGATGATAACCTGAAGAGGCAAAGTTGAAACCATTAACATTAATTAAACTTCAGTGTAGAAGTAATTGACATTGCCTTAAAAACGAAAACAAAAAGGACAATTCAGGGGGTCTCTGAAAGACGAGCGCAGAAATTCCATACTGATGAAGATTTGAGTAGCACTTCTGACTAGCTGAAGGAAAATTCCCAGACTGCACAACCAATCAGAGGCACTACCCAGATCTGGGTAGTGATGCATCGATCATCAGTATGGAATTAATTTCTGAATTTCTACATTCGTTTCTCAGATGTCACTTCCTAAGGAAACCAGTGGTGAGCAACTCCCCCCCCCCCCCCCCCCCCCCCCCCCCCCCCCCCCCAAACCAAAATACCCTTTTTCTCACCCTCGACCAACTTAAAAAATTTTATATTTTTTTTTTTGTGGGGAGTTTTTTTTTAGTGTTTAGAAATTATATATAGTGTTTGAAAAAGTTGGTGAGTGTTGTGTGTGGGGGATGTGGCGTTGGTGGGGGGGTGGTGCGGTGTAGAGAGAAGATGTAGACACATGCATAAAAAAGATTTCTACATTCGTGTCTCAGAGTCCCACTCCCAAGGAAACCCGTGGTGAGCCACCCCCCCCCCCCCACCCCCTTCGCACTACCATTGAAAAATGTTGACTGTTTTCTCAGGCTAAGTAAAACTTTAAAAATTTATATATTGACTTGGTGGTGAAAATTTTTTGTGACTGATGTAAACATGTATAAGGGCTATTACAAGTGGTTGGTACTGTACAGTGTAGGCCTTCGAGTGGTTCAGCAGAGGTTGCCATTAAGAAGAAATATTCTGAAGCATGCCCAAATGTAAGTTCATCAAATGGCCAGAGATACTGGGCTTATTTTTAAAAACTGAGAGAGCAGAGGAGGGAAAGTTCATCATTAAGACTCAAGGGCAAGATAGAATACATGTACTGTATCATCAATCTCATTAGTTAAAGGATTCAGGGTTGGCCAGGGTCTTGAATGTAGGGTACAATTTACAGTGGTTTTAATCTGCTAGGAAAGTATACTCATTGGGTATTATTGAGAAAAATGTCCTTGGAAAGTTGGGTTTTTTGGTCACATTTTGGGGGTATGTTAATTACCACTGCCTGCCCTGTTGAGTTATGCTGACAATAATTACATTTTATTCTATTTAGCACCAGATTTTACAATATAACTTGTGCTTGTCACTTACGTACCTCGTCACCAGGATCTATCAGGCCTTGAAATGAACAAAACAGAGACTCATAAGCTCCTCCTGTTATCAAAATCTGAAAAATAAAATGGCAATTCAGTTCATTTTATTTAAAAACTGATAATGACACACCTGAGTGTAACCAAACTGATTTCCTTCATAATATTATCAGTGATAACCAAGTTGTGCAAGAAAGCTAATGTGGCCTTGAACTATATAATTTACACCATTAGAAATCAGACCATGTACCAACTGGTCTCATAAACAATGAAAATTGTTTTCTCAAGAAAGTGGTCACAGTTGTCTAGATGTGGTGACTGCTTATCAGAGATTTCAAGTATGATACTTAAAGACTCTCATGAGAAGTGTTTGATTAATTATTGAGAGATGGTTGTATGGATGGAGGTTTGACTGCAACTGAAATCAGTTTGGAGCTTACCTCAGACAAAGGATCAATTTCTCTCTTCAGCAGAGTTGTGTATAGTTTTCCAATTGCATTGACTAATCTTGGATGTCCCTTGAATAATAGAGGCAAAATAATAGTTTGTTATTAACTATGTTATGTTATTGTATTAGGCTCCCGCCTTTCCCCTCACTCACTTGTGACAGCATCATTATTCATAAGGCCAACTCTCATGACACCACCATTAATTAAGAATGACAGTTTCTTTTCCTTCGAGTCAGTGAAGAGAACCAGATGTACTGCATACGCTAATTTTGGGTTACCTGCACTATCTGACTGTATCAAACTGTTCAAGAACTTAATAGGGCCCCCCTTGATTGTCAGTGCCTCATTTGATGTGCACATGCAATCTCCAAATTTATAGGTAAAAATCTTCAAGAAGTACTTGGGTCATACTCAGTGATAACAGCCACCGAAATCACACACACAGGATATTCTTCAAAAGCACCTTCAGATCGATCAATTGATCAATCAATTATTTCACATCTTCAAGGATTTTTATGCATCAGGGATGCAGGATGCAGAGGTAACAAAATCACTGCAAACTTGACTGTTTTACACAATGATGCTTCAGAATTTTGGCTAACAATAAACACAGTGCTTATTGGATTGTACTATTTGTAAACCAGGTACTGTACATATGATGCATTCAACAGGGAAGTAGCTAAGAAAAAAATATACAGGCTTATTTATTTGGCTAGCCGGTTTTCTTCTACTTCAAACTCATTTCTCTGTTTCCCAGAGAAATTTGAGCCAGATAAGTAAGTTCATTTACAGTCTATAAACAATTATTGGATGAGGTTTTTGTGATATCCGGAATAATCAAGGTCGAGGTAAGTGTTATCAGCCGAAGCTGAAGGCTGAGGCTGATAACACTAACCAAGACCTTGATTATTCCGGATATCACAAAAACCGAATCTAATAATAAAATTGTTTTATTATACTTTATCTTCAAGTAATTTCTCAATTTCTTGCTGGGTCGATGAAGCGAATCGAGAAGCCATTCTTACTTCGCTGTCCACGAACTTGACATTGCTGTCCGTACACTTGAGATTGCTCTTGGAAATCATGCATTGCAATCTGTAGGTACAGATTAGTGAATAATCTGTAGGTTGCACTGTTTCCCAGAATTAACTGTAGGCTTTTAGCCAATGAGAAGACAGATGGTGACTACAATGTATAATACTGATATTAACTGGCAGCTGCTGGCTGACCCAAGGAAAATAGTAATTAGCTCTGTTTCTGCTAGAACCTTGAAATGTCAAGCTGAGGGGAACATTGAGGGTCACGGAAAAATAATAAGCTTGCTGTTCAGTACAAAATTAAGGTACACGCCTGTCTCTAGCTGCAACTACAACACAGTTTAGTTAGACTGCAAACACCAAACAAGGCACAGGATAAAGAAAGCACAATGTCATTAAATATTAATTACAATCACACACCTGACTTCTTGTGTATTGGTTAACAGAGATATCACTACTTGACGCAACTTTTCCAAGAGCCTCTGAAATGATGGGCGGTGGAGCAAAATCTGGAAATCCCTTTAAAAAAAAAGGTTGATGTCTAACTCACATTTATACATAATTATATAGTGTCATTGCTCAAAATCACCCAGTGGTGCTACAGGCCCTAAGAGTGTAGAGCATGACATTTCTCTATGTAATATCAATGCTTTATAAAACAGAGAGGTCATACAAATTAAGGACATGATCACAGAAGGTGAATCTTATTGATACTTCAACATTTTCTCCCCACTATTTCTATAGGAAATGTATAGAAACAACAAATGAGAATTTGAATTTTGATGTTGGGGTTTAAAACTAAGGTTAATTCAAGCCACAAGTATGACTTGAGTAATGTCCCAGTATGTTGTTCTCTGTCCAAAAACAATCAAAGTGAGGTATAATGGTTGTCTAGCTAGGCTGTTAATTTTCTCAGCATCAAGTTGAAAGTCTAAAATATGTAAGACTGACAGTAATATTACATAACTTGTAGCAATCATATGGTAGGGGACCAAAATGAAACTTGACTGAATGGCAAAGCCTTTCTTAGCCTACGTGTAGCCGCACCCTCCCCCCAACAAATGAAAAATGTTTGTTTTTCCATTTTTCCTTTGTCGGGGGGAGGGTGTGGCTACATGTAGGCTAAGACTTCGTGCAAAAGCCATCTGTATTACTGTCTCACAATATGCTGATATCTATTTTCATTGCCTACAGACTCGCTGTAATTCTTGTCTAGTAAAAGGGAAATGTTTAATTTTCCTTAAATTAACTCTGTTGAATGGGGGTTGGTAATAATTACCATTTAACCATTTCTCACCTGCCCTAAATTTACTGCCTTGCATTTCCTTGCTAAAGCAGTGAACTCCACCCTGTAACATGAAAAGGTAACTGATCAAGTCACAATAATTACTTAATGTTCTGCTCATACAGTTGTTTGACTTTATTTCAAAATATAGTGGAACCTCGATAAACCGAAGACCCAGGGGACTGGCAAACTCTGTTTGCTACAGCAAGGTTTCATTATATGGAGGTTCTTTTTTACATATTTTACTATTCCTGGGGAAAAGAAAATCATTTGTTATACTGAGGACTTTGTTTTAAATTATAGAGGTTTGTTACACTGAGGTTTCACTGTATGATGAAGAAAAATGCAGTCCGCGATTAATGGTCAGGGCTGATTGTGGTGTGGTAATGCTGAGCACGTGTGTCTCGTATTTGTTTAAAAAAAAAAAAAATGATCAGTTTCTGCGTAAAATTATGCTGATTTTTACGATGAGCCCCTATTGAACAGCCAACCTCTATGAAGTGGCCATTTGCCCGTACCCTGAGGGTGGCCGCTTACTTTATATACATACCATACATTCTTGTCATGTCCAAGAAGTCTGTCAGCTGGTTTATAAATTGGTTTAGAACTCATTTTTCTCTGCAGAAGCAACAAAAAAATGCTATAATTAAAGGCCTAACTCTTTAAGCTGTATTGGGGGCTGGGAGAGCCTATAAAAATTTGGCCTCTGAATCAAAGCAGTTTCAAGGCAAAAACAGAAATTCTTGGCTGAGCCAGGGGTATTGAATGCAATAGCGCGCATTAATTCAAAATAATGCGCTTCCGGACAGACCTACTATTAAATTCAGCTCGCATCAGTAAGTGAAATTTCAAAACATGGATGTTTCTACTCTCTCATCAGGACACAACTGGTACTGCTTGAACATATTTACATATATTCAACCACGAAAACTTGGCGGGATAAAAATTTCCCATCCGGCCTCCTGACCAAAGCGGAGCAAGGAATATATTTTACACAAATTATCATTACCTTTCTAAAACCTTCCGTTTCTGACCTGTGCAGTTTTACAGCGAAAAATTGTTGTAAGTCAGGCCTTTTCCATATGGCAAGGCCAGAGTATAATCTTTACCACTGCTGTCTACTTGTGACATGTGACACGACGAACCCATGACCAGTTGTGACAGCAGTGTTTTTACACAGCGGAGTTTATAAATTGCCTTGCACTTTCTGATTGAAAGCGATCATTGAGAGCATCGGAATGCAGCTTTAATACAAATTAAGGCTATTTAAAACGTGAATATCCAATAATAATAATAAGGTTATTATATTATCTTTCAAAAATTTGCACCAGGGCACATATCGTTTGTGCGAATCCAAAAATTGTTCAGCTTCTGTCGCCATCTTGCGCACACGCCCCTCCTCCGCCCCCTTCGGTTTGCTCTGCGTTTTGGTGGTTGATCTATTACGCAATTTATTTAAACAAAAACAAAAACAAAAAGGTGAAAAGCAGAAAAAAACAAGCGGAATTAACTTTGGTCAGGTGAAAGGAAAAAGAAATGCCACCTTAAATTACTTTTTTATGTACTGCGGCGGCCTTGTCTGTTCTGTGATGAAGCTCTGTGATTTTGTTTGTTAAAACACGATACTTTCATAGTCTCATAAGCAAGTACCAAAGTAGTTCATCTCTGATGTTTTTCTTAGCTAGCGCAATTTTTAATAATTTCCCTATTTTTTTTTTCTTTTACGATTGCCATGTTTGTGCTCACTGGTTTATATAAAAGCAAGCGATTTAGTAGGTTTATGTGCTCGTTTCTACCGTACTGATTAAATTTAATCAAGCTGAGATCATAAGCAAACTTTAGCTTAATAGAGCCATTGACTTCGAAAGGAATACAAATATATACGAGGCACAGAAACTTCTTACGTACGGTTTGTCTTTGACCCTGTAGGTCTTCACTGCATAAGTTTGGTGCCAGGACAACAGACCTTCCAGTGCCAAAGAGGTTGTTGAATTTGTTCAAGAAATGCCTTCCTCTGTAAACAGCCTTGTTCATGCTGTAACAGTATGTCAAAAGTCACGTGAATCTCAGGTTAACGGTTGTCGTCGTTGATGTCGAGACTTCCTTGTTTATGTTCAAACTTCGTGACTGCTTACATGGTGTAATGAGTTTTTGAAGACTTTTGTTTTAGCTCGTTACCAGGCCTCCAGATCTTCTCTTGATGCAAAAGAACAAACTTGTTGCAGAAGAAATCTTGGCTCAATGGAGGGAATATACTGGTCGTTATATTGGATCGAGAGAATATCCTGACGAGGCAAAGAAGAACAGGGAAGATGTCTTTGAGGAATCTCCTAGCAGGGATTCTTATTTTAGGCGTGTTAATTGGCCATATAAACGGATCGCTTGATGAACCTTCGAGTGAAAACAATTCTACTAACGACACCGAAGAACACCCGCAACACGAAGATCCACCTCCACTGAAAGTCGCCAAGTTTGATTGGGATTATGTGTCAGGACCTTTGACAATAATCTTGTGGATTTTGCTTGCAAGTGTTGCAAAACTAGGTGAGGTGTCAAGTGTATCAAACCTATTTTTAAAAACTTGAAGCTACCTTAGGTGGCGCACTTCTTGTTCATTTCGTACTCAAGTGATCTTTGCCCCTCTGGACTATTAAGCTTAACTTGTATCTTTTTTAGGGTTTCACTTATCCCACCGGCTTTCCTCTGTAATACCAGAATCATGGTAAGACTTTATCACATAAATTTTGAATTTTTAATCTATGTGCGGGTTTCATAGGTGGTTCCCTGAAAGCTTAAACAAACTAAATCCGGACAAAAATAAATTTGACAGATAAGCTTGAAAGAAAGCTGCTAATTATAAAGTCAGTTTTATGAAGCTATTATTGACGCTCAGCAAGTTTTGCAATCTAAGGAAACCCTGTAAAATTTGTCTGGAGGTGCTCTAGAAGTCGATCTTGACACCTGCAAAATATACATTTTATTACTTTAATTACAATTATTAATTAGTATGCAGAAAGAACGTCTGATCCCTCTCGTTGTTTGTTTTTATGAAAAACTATGCAGGTGGCGGTTGTTGCCGGCCTTTGAGTCATTCGATCTTAAAGTTTCCGTCTGCCCATTTTGATATTAAGTTATGTAATGGCCATCAACTCCCATCAAGAAAAGAAATTGTAAATTGACTGTACGTAAAACTTAAATCTGGTGTATAAATTTCTTTTTTCATAGTTTTTGTTAAATTACCTAAAACACTAATTATTATCATTACTATTATTGTTTTTGTTGTTGTTGTTGTTTTAAATGTTACTGTTTGACATCACCTATGGGTATACTAATTTGTTTCTAGTGGAAGGCAGTGCTATAGTAGCCAGAGCCCAGTGGCCCCTGGCGCCTAACTTTTGCTCGAAAATCTAGAAAAAACTAGAAAATCTTAGCTTTTTCATACAAACCATATGCTGGGCACCCTAGATTTTATAGGATCAGAGCACTGGGCTCCCTACAATTTTCCTTAGGGCACAGCCTTGAAAGATTGTTGATTTTTCCTTTTTACTATTTTTGTAAGAAATTCTCGGTTATGATAAGGTGGGTCATGTTGGGGGTTAATACAGTATAATTTTTGCACAAAGAATTTACATGAAAATAAAGTTTAGTTCCTTGAGGAGATACATGCTTTTTTTCTTGACCACAAACATGGTCCTCGCAATACCACGTGCAAAACAGCAATTAAGATATATTCCAGTTTCCATATTTGTTGAGTCATGTTTGTTTCAAGTGAACCAGATCCAACCGAGATAATAGATATTAGTTTTGGCTGGTTTGCTTTGGATGTGAATCAGTTTTCAAATTAACATAATTTATAAATCTTTTTTACTTTTAATTTGCATCAGACAATTATTGTTAAACACTGCAACTTTTAAGTTTAATAGGATTTTTATAGCAGGTCATACTGAAATGTTATAATTTTTTATCACAAGATATATTCCCATTTTGCGAAAATAATGTTTCAGGTTTTATTAATTTTTTTCTTTCAGTTTGGTAATAGTCCTTGGAATTGTTATAGGAGGAATTATGAAGTGAGTAAACAAACAAGAAAAGATATAATAATGGGCACCATACTTACTCTCAAGCTTTGCAAATTCGATCATAGCTGCTACTGTATAATGGCTACTTAATTGTTTCTTTGATACGAATGATAATGACTTTATGAATATTAAAGAAAACTTTGTTGTAGGTACAATATTTTCAGGGTAAACTAGCCATCATTCATTGACCTAGTTAAATGACTCAGGATTTCTTAATGTTTCGTAGTCCTGATGTTATTCATCAGAGACAAGGGAAATTGTGAGAACAGATTGAACTGCAGTTACAGCCCTTACCTACATTGTGTACTTAATTTAAAAATATTATTATTAAGTGTGCTTTAACTTTAAACTAATATTATGTAATATTAAAGTTGCAATTTAAAAAAATTATTAGTAATATCTTGTAAATTACCCCAGCTTTGGTTGGAATAATTAACAATTATTGGATGAGATTGAGCAAAATATTGTGATTTGTCAGCAGGGCTGAAAATAACGTCCGGTCATCGGACAATGTCTGGCCTGATTGCGGACTTGACCTGTCAAACTCCAGTCTTGCTGATCATTTTGGATATGAACATATTATTTTCCAGACAGTTGTTGCTTAATGCTCTATAATGCTGTAATGATTTGTTTTTTCTTTGGCATTTTTCCTGTTTTGCACTAAACCCTTACAAGAAAAAGAACGCCGCAATAAACAACTTTATGCAAATTTCTGTTGACATTTGAGCCCTTTGAGATAAAAGTGCATGATGACCCAAGTGAAAGCTCTGCTGTATTTTTATTGAGTGCTGATAATAAACACGCTGTTTGTGGAACAAACTTCTCGCCAATAGAAATCAACTTCTTTGCCAAAAATATTAGCGATGATTCTTCTTTGTGGACGAGACTTTAGCCTGGTTCTCATTTGCCGCCGATGTATCTGTGAAGTAGCCACCGGTAACACCTGGGCTACTTCTCGGACAAATGAGAACATGTGCCACCAGAGACTAGAGCCATCGCAGAGCTTTACCGCCAGCATGCCTGGGAAGTTCAACTTCAGTCAACTTCGCAGGTATGCCTGCGGTAAAGACTGGTATGGCCAAGTTCCCGGCCACTTCAGTTCTCTTATCGGAACAGTATCCCAGGCAGTACCGGCGGCAATGGCGCAGGTGCATCGGTGGCATATGAGAACCAGGCTTTTTGACCATGTGCCAGGCAAGGAAAAAGATCAAGTTTGACGGATGTTCATTTCTGAACATCAACGTAAAACAAATGTGTGCAGATTTTGTTCTTTATTAGCCCAAATTTTTTTTTCGTAGTTCCTAAAGTTTGTTGAACTGTATCTGTATTCCATTTCCTGAACGTTGAGAGTTTGAAAAGGATTTATGCTTCAGTTTTTACCTTTAGAGACTTCAGACACTGCCTACGATGATACTCAAGGTAGAACGGACATTAAAACGTCCAAAAACTGCTGAAAGGAACTCTACAATTTGTGTGAATGCATTTTTTACCAACTTGCTGCCAAAAATGTGAATGTCAAATAACGATCTATTGCCAGGGTAATTAGATATTCCTTGGGCCAAAAAAAACTATAGTATTCATTATTTGAGCAGCCAGACTCAGGGTTTGTCCGGGCTAAAAAATATTTGGCCGGTCATCATGTCTGGCGACCTGCTGTCAGTGTTATTTTCAACCCTGTGTCAGTGGTGAGCAGATCAATATTATTGGCTTCAGCAAATAATTGATCTGCGAGACACTAACAAATCACGATATTTTGCAATAACCGAGTTCAATAATTGTTTTATCATTCGATCACAGAGTTTGTTTTTTTTAATGAATATCTTTGGGAAGCGTAGCGATCTGCCATTTTCATGCAACAGCAATCGCAAGAAGGAGAAAAGCTTGGGTTTATTTACTCATGAACAGAATATTATTTGCAGCCAAACAAAGATGGGCGACATTGCACATGAGCAGACCATTATTTGAAGGCAGTTATTTGCAGGTCACGTGGTGGGCTTTCGGCCAATTAAAAACAAGAAAAATTTGCAACGAATGATTATGATAATTATTATTTATTGTCATCATATTTACTTTGTAGGGGTATTGGTGCAACAGTAATTACCTTCTCATCTCGCACCTTCTTTCTTTTTATGCTACCACCGTAAGTAATTTGATTTTATGGATTGGTTAAGGAGGTTGAATATAACTTCTAGAAATAAATGGACAGCGCAAGCCTGGGTCTATTACAAACTGCAGTCACTTTAAAACAGTCCAGTATATAACTCTCCCTTGGGTGATCATAAAATTTTTAAGTTATACTCATAACATACCAGTGACTTCTGGTTACAAAAACCTGAAATACATGAGACATAATAAAAAAATAATAGTAATATGTGTGAAATAAGCAACAAGAACTTAGTCAACATAAAAAGTAAACCATGTACATGTCATGTTGAAGTAATGAAAACACAGAATGATAAAGGTACATAAAAATTATCATCTTTCTTGGAAATATTTGGAAATGATGTTTATTATAGTTCTTTTTTCTGAATGTTCTGTTTGTTTATTGATTACAGGATTGTTCTGGAGGCAGGTTACTTTCTTCAAGACAGAGCATTTTTTGATAACATAGGAACTATATTGCTATATGCTGTTGTGGTAAGTGGTCTTTATTAAATCTTTTAAAGGGATGTGCATTCTATAAGGAAAACTAATGCTTGCAAATTTAGATATTTGCATGTATACAGTCTCTAATTTGTCTACAAGAACAGTAAAGAAAATTGAAGGTTTTTGAACTGTTTGGAAACATGTATTAAGCAAGTATGCCAGCTGCAAACTCTACAAAGTTTATTTAGAACAGGTAACATGTACCTGAGTTCATTACTGCTTTGTTCAGCTAGTTCGAAATATCACATTCTTTTGCATGTTTTCAATTGTGATGTTAATTATCATTATAACACACCATTTTGAATGTTAAGTCCCCCCGTACATGTATTTTGCAATAGACAGAAGTAATTTTTTCTTAATCTAGAGTACGTAGTGCATTACTAAGATTTCAAGTTGCCAGGTAGGCAAGGTTTAAAGAACTTAAGGAAGTTGTTGGGGTTCTGTTTTCATTTTGTTTCCTATGAAAGTATTAAGCCAGTGATCATGTTCATGGTAGCCGTGGAGAGAAATCCCCAGCCCCTGGCCTTAGTGACTGCCCTGGTACAGCTGTACATGTATGCTTTAAAAGTAACTGAAGCCATCTAAAGATAATGAAAATAAAATGCCGTCATTGTTTGTTTTTTCCTGGTGCTTATGTATACTAGTGTGTTCTTCCTTTTGACTGAATGTAACATAGTACCTTCTTTTCACCTATTTTGTTTTCTGTAGGGAACAATTTTTAATACTTTTACAGTAGGTAAGTTTGCTTTTTTTTAATGGTATCTTTGGTCATAAACTCATATCTCTTGGTTGTCAATAAGCTAATTGTAATGGACAAACGTCTTATCCAGTGCAAGAAGTTTTATTCAGTTGTTTTGTGCATTAAATCCTGAATCAAAAAAGGTCAGCAATAATAATAATTATTATTGTGACCAATGTTGGATCCAACACTTTTTGTAACATCAGCTAGGGGCACTGCCTCATTTTAGCTGAATTAAAAAATGTGATGTTACATTGAAGACATGATCAATCATGTACACTCTGCGGAGCCTCAATACAATAAACCCAGTAATACAGTTAAGTCCTTGGACGAGTATAATAATATTCTTCACCCCAAAAAAAGTATACAGAAAAGAACCTTGATATAACAAACCTCATTATAGCAAATTTATTTGGCTATTACCTTGGCCCTTGGCCTTCATTATATCAAAGTTCCACCATACATTTCAGAGGTCCATGCCAATTTCTTGCTATTTAAAATCTGGAGACAGTCTCTTTTGCAGAATGGTAACCCCCCATATCAACATCAACCTACCTTACACCTGTGTGGTGATGTCTGCAACTTGCACTTTTCTTAACATCCTCTGAACTTGCTTATGCTCATAAACTATAAGTCCTATAAGTCTTTCAGGTCTTATCAATGACATTTATTTTCTAACATATTCAAGTATACTTTTCTAGTTAAAACTCTTTTCAATTACATGTAAGTGTGTACATTTAAGGCAAGGTTTAACTAATCGACCGTTAATGCTTATATAACAGCATCAATTGCAATCTGATACTTAAGATGCTTAAGTTGCACAAAGGATACTTAAGCTTGTCTATTAAATATTTTTGTCTGTTAGCTGCAACAGGGTGCAAAGAACATCAGTTTTACAGCTTGCCATTTGGGCAAACTTAAACTACCAGCCCAAAAGTCATTTTAACTAGCCTGAAAAAAAAAATTTGATGAACAGGATTTATTACGGTCTCCTGTAATTTGAATTCTTCAAAGAACTTCACTTGCCCATTGGGTAATTAAGAACAGAATTCACTAGCCTGATAGCAAAGTCCACTAGTAAAGCCCTGGGCTATCAGATGCCACTTTCTCTGCACAATGCAACTGTATCATTTCCTGCAAAGCAAGTTGCCAACAAGTAAGTGGTGCTTAAACATGAAGTTTTTCTACTCTGTCCTGTATTTTTGGTAAGTAATAATAATGATTTGTAACACCCTCTTTATGTTATGTGTTCTTTCACAGGATTATCTCTGTTGGGAGTGTCAGCAAAAATGGGAATCGACTTGAGTGCAATGCATGCATTAACATTTGCATCACTTATTGCTGCTGTGGATCCAGTTGCTGTAAGTACACTGCAAAATTCTCTGAAATGTATGTATTTATATAAAGAATCAATTCTAATTGCCTCTTTGTCAAATTATTGAAGTCTGAGAGGAAGCTATACCAAGTGCTGACCAGAATAAATTTAGCTGGTTGCATTTATGATGTAGGTCAAAGAATGATTCTTTAAATATTGAGCTGGCTGCAAGGAAAGTCAGTTTTACAGCTTGACATTTGGGCAACCTGTATCTAGCAGGTATCAGCCCTAAAGTTGATTCAGTTAGCCCAAAAAAACATTTTTATGAGCAGGATGGATTGCAAATTCTTCTGTAATTTGAATTCCCAATAACACTTCTCTTCCCATCGGTGAGTTAAAAACAGTGAACTCACTAGCCTGATAGTAGCAAAATCCTCAAGCCCTGGGATTTCGGACACTACTTTCTTTGAATGCTGATAACTATCCACTTTTTTTTTTTGCTGTATAAATAAACTTTCAGTTTTTTTGTGAACATCTTAATATGTCACACACCAAGTGTTCATATATGTATATTCCTGATATTATCATCATCACTTCAAAACCTTTTACATGTAACAGGTACTGGCTGTGTTTGAAGAGATTCATGTCAATGTCATGCTCTATATCCTTGTGTTTGGAGAATCACTATTGAATGGTAAGCAACAATAAAAAACATTGATTTCTGTATATATTAACTCTTGTTAGAAGTGAATTATGACCTGATGTACAAAAATCAAACAGGGAATTACATGCAAGATAAAGCTGACAGTTACTTGGCATTGGTTACAAGTACCCAAAAGTAGTCGCCAATGAGTTAAGAAAAAAATTAGCAAGTGATTTAGTCTTCAGATTTTGGATGCTTAGGAAAATGTAAAAAAGGATTTATGGATCCAATTCAACAGTTTTTTATCTGTTGTTCAGGTTTTCTAAAGCGTCTTTTTGTGCCCTGACATCTTCATTCACGGCGTTTTAAAACTTCGTCGACACCTGACACTGAGACGTACGGAAGGGTTGCCATGACAATTTTGTAATTTCACATGTGAAATTACAAATTAACGCTGAAATTTCGCGCCAAAATTAAGGAGTAATTCGTCACCTATGATATTATTAAGGGTAACATTAAATGATGTATAATTTTGTTTTTCTTTTTGCTGATTTTCCCTTGTTTATTTTTGCTCCATTAAAACACCATATATATATATAACAACATCTAATGTTATTTGACAAACTTATTTCTGAGAGCTGTTATTTTTATGTGTCCACCTTGGCTGACTTGTAAAAGTTAACAAACCTATGACCTCACCTATGAACAGTGTATTTTGAACAGGTAAATAAAAATGCTACTTAATTCGTTTTACAGATGCAGTGACTGTTGTATTGTATCATCTTTTTGAAAGTTTAGCATTATTTGATGAAATCACTTATGCAGAGGTAAGACTCAAGAATACAGTCTAACCTCCACTAGTAGCCACCTCTCTACATAACGGTCACTTTGGTAGTTTCGAAAACGAAGCACTCGAAAACGAAGACCGAAGCACGAAGCACCCAAAACTCGAAAACGAAGCATCTAAATCTCGAAAACGAAGCACCTATCGAAAACGAAACACTCGAAAACGAAGCACCCAAAACTCGAAACCACTGTAGGTTGAATAACTACAATTTTACGTCTAGCATGACGCAATCCGAATCAGGTGGAGGCAGCGAATGCGTTCGTACCTCCAAAGGTCGACAAAATCCATCCCAAGGTTTTATAAAAGCCTACAAACTGTTTAACTGAACGTTTCTACATAGGATATCCTGTATTAACTTTATTATTAGTCTCGCTTTACTTGATACATCTTATCTTAATATGCATTTTTTTTGGTACACATACATGTTTATGAAGACCTCAAAACTGACCGTAACCGTATTTTGACGTATGCAAGTATGCGCGAGCACTAACACAAAAGGTCTGAAACGAGTTTGAAAACGGAGAGTGAGGCTCGCGCGTAAGACTCTTACGTTATCGTGCTTGATTCCCGCTGTGTGAGCAAGAGACTGTTTCGTGTTTATAAAGGACAGACCGGTTTCAAGTTTAGGAGTCTTCGCTTTCGAGTTTTTGGGGTCTTCGTTTTCGAGTTTTTGGGTGCTTCGTTTTCGAGATTTGGGTGCTTCGTTTTCGATAGGTGCTTCGTTTTCGAGATTTAGGTGCTTCGTTTTCGAGTTTTGGGTGCTTCGTTTTCGAGATTTGGGTGCTTCGTGCTTCGGTCTTCGTTTTCGGAACTACCCACCTTTTTTGTCCGAGCGAACAGTCCATACATTGACTATTGTTTAAACCTCTCTACAATGGCACGGCCAGTAAAGCGTGTCCCCAGCTGCCAAAATAACCTCTTGACAATGGCCAGTTTCTTTTATTTAGCGAAAGGTGAAAAGTCGGGAATTGTCACGAAATTTGATTCGTGTGGCGCGTTGATGATTAATCGCAGCAATCATATTTTGATTGTGGAGAAAGGTTGTTTGAAAAAATGTGCACTTGACAATCCCTAAAGGTAGTATGGGATGTGCTCAATACACTGTTCCTGGCACTGTAGCTGTCGAACCTACTTTTGTCGCTTTTGTTGCGTCCCTTAAGCATTTGCAAACATACGTCCATGGCCTTTCGGGATTGTCGCATGCGCCTTTTTTCCGACAACCTTTCTCGAAATAGCTGTATACAGTAAGCGTAAATTGTCTACGATACTTGTAGCGAATGTTACGAACCTTTTTCGTTTTGTCGCGCTAACATTTTGATTCAAAACATTATTCAAGTTTTTTATGTATTTTATCTCTACATATTATTTTTGTGATTGAATTAACATTATGGGATACAGTAAGCATGAACTTAGAACAATAAACATGTTGTACTCCCTAAAAAGAATTTGTACTCACTATCTGTCCTCTCACTGCCTAAGAGCCTACAACAAATTTTGGAAATCCACCCAACCTACAGATTAGTTAGTTATCTCCTAGCAGGTAACCTAATCTGTAGGTTGCGCACACAATGCATGATTTCCAATAACAATATCAATTCAGGTTCCTTGCAACGGTGTGTTTGTCGTTATTTTCTTCAAAACAGTGAATAATAAAAAAAGTATTAGATTCGTTTTTTTTGATATCCTAAACAATCAAGGTCTGGGTAAGAGTTATAAAACTTACCCCGACCTTGATTATTCCGGATATCACTAAAAACTCATGCAATATTTTTTTTATTATTACACCCCTACCTCCCCATAACAGTTTAGGCTGATTTAGCAACAGAACATGAACGTCATTTGACGACGGTAAAGCGCGCGAAAAGGACTAAACTCGCCTTCCGGTGCCCAGTTTGCCGCTCAGCCATTGGTCAAGCCAGTTGTTTGATTTGCGCGCGCCGTCGTCAAATGACGTTCCCGTTCTGTTGCTAAATCAGCCGAGTCACCTCTTCACAACGGGCATAATGGCCGCTTTCTTCTGTCCCCAAGGTGGCCGTTCTAGAGCGGTTTGACTGTGCAATTTACATGTCACTCTTGATTTCAGGTCCTCACAGGTTTTGCATCATTTTTTGTGGTCAGTCTTGGAGGTACATTGTTGGGTCTCCTGTGGGGTTTAGCTACTGCTTTTATTACCAAGTACACTGACCATGTCAGGGGTGAGTCGTTTTTTTTCCTTTATTAGAGACCTTAAGGTCGAAGTTTGGCCATCTTACCGCAAATGGCAAACCGCGGTTTGCGGTTTGCGGTTTCACGTCATCCATCTGCCCATATTTAGGAATTAAGATTCAGGGTGGTAGCTCCCGGCTGCCATGTTTGTTTTTATGTATTCGTTCACTCCTTTTCTAGCTGAGATATCGTCTTCAAAGTGACGTTTTCTATGAAAAATAGTTCAATAATTAATTAACGAAAGAGCTCTAAAAAGGAGTACTCTCTCTCAAACGTGGGGTTGTGATGTTTTAGACTGCAAAAGACCTTGCGGTAAATCACTTACCTCTGGAGCGTGATCTAGCCATACAAACATGAACCTCAAGGGCAGGGCACTAGTCACGTGACTTCTTGACGTTTGCAGTTCGCAGGAAATGCCCAAAAACCTCGATCGTAAAGTCTGTATTGTGTTGTTGAACCCTGTGAGTCCAAGAGATGGCTAAAGCTACGGTAAAAGGACACCCAAAACGTGCAACTGGTTTTGCAACATTACCGCAAAGCGGGTTGAAAATTGAATATGTCTTGCAACAAATCACGTTGCAAGTTGCGTGAATACTGACTCCTGATTGGATAAAATTGCGCAGGAATTACGCCCTACACAGTAGTTATATCACCTGTTGCAAAACAAGTTTGCCTTGGGTCGATAAAACGCGCAACATGTACAGATTTTGTTGCAAAAAGTAGAACCTTTCTCTATTTTCTGCGGCAACTTTAATTCCGCGATCTCGGTAACAACCTGATTTGTTACAAGACGGGTTTGATTCCTGGCCGGTAACGTCGCTGTTCAATTTGTTTTGCAGCAATGTTAAAACAAGTTGCACGCTTCTGCTGCCCGTTTTACCGTGCCTTATGGCCAAATTCAACAAAACTTCCAAATTTCATTCGGTAAAAAGCTAAAAAAAGTACCATGTGCAAGTACTGCCATTAATAATAAGATCTGTTAATATAACTGCTCTATTTGCCACTTTCGTGGTTACAAGTTTGGAGCTCCACCCCTGTGTCTAAGCAATCGCTCTGGTGCTTGCTGGCAAGTGGATTATTCATAACCCCTGCATAACTTTATTAATACGACAAACCTGCTCATACTGCCATACAAGTTACTAAGTACGTTTAGCTTTGCTGTAATGTCATATAATTTTGATTGGTTTGTTTCTTTCAGTGATTGAGCCGATATTTGTTTTTGTGATGAGTTATCTTGCTTATCTGACTGCAGAATTGTTCCACTTTTCTGGAATTATGAGGTACACTTATTATGGCCCTACGTTAACATATTTTCAACATTGCATCGAAGGTGTATGCATATCTAACGCGTGAATACCGTATTATAGGAAATTAACGCTCCATGAAATTAACGCGAATCGTTGAAATTCGCGTTAATTTTGTTGAGCGTTAATTTCCGCGACGTTAATTAAGTGCAGGTTAATTTCCATGCTCTTAATTTCCAGTATTTTAACCCCAATTTTGGAACCTGTTCAGACATTCTTGACACCTAAAAAACATTAACTACAAGCTTTCTTTCTTTCCATTTACCCTTTATTTTAAAGCTAAGGCGCAGGTTTACGATATTTCGAGTTCATCTTCAGCGTTGTCGCTGTCAGAAGTGATGTCAGCTCAGTTTTGTTCAGTTTTGGATTTTTTTGCATCCAGTGTTGAGGAAATAAATTTGTCCAACTGTGTCTCAATCGCGTTAATTTCCTTTATTATGAAATTCTACCTCCTCTTTCGCGTTAATTTTCTTTATTTGAAAGTCGTTTTCCATTAAATTCGCGTTAATTTAAGTCGCGTTAATTTCCAATACCTTAATTTCATGGAGCGTTAATTTCCTATAATAAGGTAGATGGGAAATGGATTAGATTAGATGATTCGTGAATGAATAAATGGATGGATGGTAATGATGGGACAGAATGAAATGAATGCGTGGCAATTCAGAAAGTAGATAAATTATTAACAAATTTTATGATCTTTCAGAAACCCAGATTGTCATAAAGCGCTAGTACATGTCTATGACGTCTAGTGTTACACACCGCATTTCAGTCCAGCAGTTCAAAATGAACCTGTTTTTAATTCCCATTGAGCTTAAGACCCACTTTATATGGAGAAAAGTTGTCCCCCTCCTATCCGAGCCATCTTTACTGAACGTTCATATGAAAAAAAGTTGATCCGTTTTCCCGAGCCAACAGGGGTCATTATACGTTTCTGGGAAACTGCCCACCTACCCCTCCCCTAAGCCATATAAATGGAGTCTAAGTGCATGGAGTATAAGAGCTTAAAAGCCAGATGATGTTGCAGCTCTTACAAGGCCTCACATGACTTGTTTCGAAAAGCAACCAACAAACAAAGTTTACACTGGAACCAAGTCCTAAAACAAACGAGCTGCGACATATATTGGGTGTAATGAAATTAGAGGTTTTAAAGAGCAGTTAACACTACTGAGCAAGTCAGAAAGGTTTCATTATTGAGACAGGGGTTTTGTTTCTTCTTATTGCAGTATTGTTACTTGCGCAATCATCATGAAGCCGTACGTGGAGCTCAATATTTCAAGAAAATCCCATACAACCATCAAGTACTTTCTTAAGATGATGAGGTATGTACTGCAATACCTACATGTGAAAATTACAAACCTTTTGCGGGTAGTAGTATATAGAGGATATTACACGGTGGCGAGAAGATATGAATTTTATGTTCGAGTGGCAAGAACAATATCTCACGAGTGAGCGAAGCGAACGAGTGAGATATTGTTCTTGCCACGAGAACATAAAATTCATAATCATTGAACGATACGACACTCACAAAGGTGACATACGGAAAATACGCCACTCGGGTCCCGGATGAAGTGGCGTATGGAATCTACGAGTGGTTTAGTTCCCAGTAAAACACTCTCCTCCATATAATAAAAACAAATAATAGCACGATTTGTATGTGATATGTGACATAAATACCACTCGTGATATTTCAAAATTGTCTTCTAATTTCACGAGCCGTTAATTACGTATAACAATTTTGAAATATCACTCGTGGTATATATGTCATATATCACTACTAATCATGCTATTACCTATACAAATATGCTTTTGATCTAAATTATATTATAAATTCACGCGGGAAAAAATGATTGATTGTCATATGCGCTGTCAAGAATGGCGTCAAATATCACTCATTCACCTATTGGTCAATTGTCATGACGTCACCGGTGGAATTTTCGACCGTTGAATTTCGCCCCAAGAACGTATGAAAAGTCCTTTAAAGTGGCATAAACTATCAGGAAAAACAAAAAAAGGACTTGTTTGTCTGTGTTTTTTTTTTTGCCAGAACCCAAGTGTTGCACTTTTATCGACAAAATCAAATATGACAAACTCAATTTGTACCATTTCTTGTTTTCTTCACAGTTCAAGCAGTGAAACTCTGATCTTTATGTTCCTTGGAGTCCGAGTGGTTACTGAAAATCATGTCTGGCACACGCAGTTTGTGTTTGTGACTTTAATTTTTATTTTGATCTACAGGGCGTTAGGTAATTTACTACACTTTAAAAACAATAATCTTAGGCCTGGGTCATATGAGCAAAGTTATTGTTCTCGCTCATTGGCATGGACTGCAAAACGTTCGGTCTTTTCGCAAAATTTGGTTTTCCAAGGTGTGAAGCGCCGGCGGCGTCAAAGTCTCACGCGTGAAGCGCGCACGAGACAAATTTTTTCGCGTCTCTGCTCAGTCTCACTCCCCGTTTTCAGCCTCGCTCCATACCTTTCGCGTTTTTGACCACGCAAAAATACGGACTGTTTTGCAGTGTAATTATCAATAGGTTCGGCTTATGTGAAGCACAGTGTTGACCTGGGCCTAATTTCATGTTTTCTTATTAATTTATTAGCGAACTTAAGTAACAAAGACAGCACGGTAACAAAAAGGTAACGTCAAAAGTAAATTCACACTTTCAAACTTCCATGTGATTCTTCCCAGTCATTGAAATTGTCAAATATTAGCGAAATGTCCTGGAGATGAATTCTAAAGGACGGTATTCAAGTTGAGAAAAGAAAGACAAAACGGCTCGGTGTTTACGTCCGTCATAAACTTTATTGTAAGAAATTTCACCTTGTAGTAATGAAGCGTTGCAAAGCCTGTGAACACTGAGGTCTTTTGCGAGGCATAGGTCGAGAGAAAACTTGGAAGCGCAAGCAGACAGGGAGGGACGATGATGCGGTTATTTGTTGTAGCTCTAAGACTACGCAAGAGTCAGTATTGCCTCGTCCACTCGTATCCGGAGATTTCCCTTCTCCGTTTTCGACAAAAATATGCGTCCTTGCGTAGCTTATTTGAATCAATTTCGCCTGTCCACACGAAAACGCTAAAACATGGAAATGCGGTAGCATCTCTTACTGGGGATGCGCTGTATGATGTATGACATTATCCTATTTGAAGACTTCCTTTTCATGCGTCCACACGAAAACGATAAGCCGGCGTTTTCAAAAAACTCCACTCCGGGGACCGTTTTCGAAGATCTGCGTTTTTGGTTCCCGAAAATTCCGTTTACGTATGGACGAAAGGCCAAAACGGAGGAAAAAAATCTCCGTTTTCGAGAAAATATCAGGATAGGTGTGGGCGGGACCTTAATAGCCTGCGTAACAAGCGTTTCGGTGCTGTTTCGAGAGTCAAAGACCGCGCGAAAAATGGCCCCTCCCCCTCCCCCCTCTGTCTTTTTTTGGCTCTCGTTTCATTTCTCGCGCGGCCAAAACCGAGAATCCCGTTCCTCGGTCTTCCCTTGCTCCGAAACAGCACGGAAACGCTTGCTACGCAGGCTAGAACCTTAAAGGTACCCGTTTCAACTGTACCCAGTGACAAAGGAATTGGCAAGATATAGTGTGACACGTGTACATTACATTGATTCATTGCAGGTGTTATGATCCTAACGTACCTTGCAAACACGTTTGGTCGAATGAACAAGCTCAGTGCTGTGGATCAGTTTATTATGGTATAGAATTATTATTCATCGTGGTTTGAAACTGATAGCGTTGAAGATAAGAGAGTAAGATAAAGAACAACTTTATTTAACCATGCTAACTTAGGGCTACAGCTGTATGTTTACACTTGGAGGCCGTTCACAGTACGCTAGTTCGGTACTCGTTGGGTACTTATGTGAACACACCCTTTTTTCAAGTACCCACACCAGTCTAAATACACGAGTTACTTTCTAATACAGCCACGGTGCCAATGTCAGTTCCACACAGCAAATCGAGACAAATCTGAAGGAGATCAGCCGTCAGTAAACGATCGAACTTTCACTCTGATAAATATATGTTACAAGTGTAATTCTAAACAGCTTAGCTTTGTGCTCAACGTAAGCAGTTGAAAAGAATCCTAAAGAAATTGTGGATTCGACTTTTTAAGTTGTCAAGGGGTACCTTAAAGTGGACTGTTATTAAACAAGTCATTTCTTGTTTCAAACGTACTGTAATTTTTGTTTAAAATGTGTAAACTGCGATTCAGGCGTCACTTGGCGTTTAAGCTCATAAATTCACTAAGTAGGAACTTGTTTTCGCTCAGCACGTATTCGTTTTGTTTTTGTATTGCAGAGCTATGGTGGTATCAGAGGAGCTGTGTCATTTTCTCTCGCCATTTTACTCACCAAAGAGCACTTTCCACTCAAAGAAATGTTCGTCACAACCACTATAGTTATTGTCCTTTTCACAGTCTTTTTCCAGGTACGTTAACAAAAGAACCCACTGGTAAAGGTTTTACATCAATTCGTCTTGGAAAATGTAGCCAAGTGTTCCAAGTTTGTCGTCTCGATGATTCTAAACCATCCGTGATCCCGTACAGTTTAAGACTAGTTTATAATAATTACCCTGTAGGTGTTTCCCTGTTTTAGTAGACTTGTATTTTAAGATTTCCGTCAATTTCGAGATAATTCTATGCGTTTTAAAATGACGACTCAGATTGTCGCGTCTAGGCGAGAAACGAAGCGTGTTGCTTAGATTCTTTTCAAAACTCCTTTGCAAAATGGTGAAGCGAACGCGTGCACATCATTTTTTTTCCATGTTTACCAGATGAGTGGCTCCCTTATAGTAATACAGCATTTTGTCCACTTGCAGTATTTTTTTACCTAATGTTGGTCCTTTGTTGAAACTCGGCGTCAACTCGAAGTAGATGAGTTCCTCATTGCTTACAGAAAGAAGTGCGTTGATTAAGTCATGGTGTCGTTCTACTAGATTAAAAGATAAAGAAAGCAGCGCTGTTTTTTAGGGCAGAAAGGAAAATCAGGACTTACCAATCTGTTTGAAATTGTTTTCAGGGAATGACCATTAAACCTCTTGTGAGAATACTTCACGTTAAGCTCAGTGGTAAAGAGCATAAGTGCATGTACGCGGAACTGAATGAGAAGGTAAAATTTGAGTTGTTTTATAGCACTGGCCTTTGGGGTGTAGCGAAGCTTCAGAGAGCGCCTAACAAATGAAAACAGTCCGGCACCAATAACATCCCCCTGATTGGTCATTTAAGTGACGTCATGCAGTAATGTAAGAATTGACAGGTAGCGAACTTGAGATAAAANTTTTCAGGGAATGACCATTAAACCTCTTGTGAGAATACTTCACGTTAAGCTCAGTGGTAAAGAGCATAAGTGCATGTACGCGGAACTGAATGAGAAGGTAAAATTTGAGTTGTTTTATAGCACTGGCCTTTAAGGTGTTGCGAAGCTTCAGAGAGCGCCTGACAAATAAAAACAGTCCGGCACCAGAAACATCCCCCTGATTGGTCATTTAAGTGACGTCATGCAGTAATGTAAGAATTTACAGGTAGCGAACTTGAGATAAAATCGTGCAACGTTTCACTTAGCATCAGATGTCGATTCATATTCATGTTTGTACGAAGGCTACAAAGGGTTAATACAGAAAAGGAAAATCACTGAACGTCAGTTTTATACGGTTTGGTAGCTGGTTTTATATGTTACTGTGCACTATTCTCCGTTCTTCTCAACTAGTAGCAAGAGATGATCGCGTATATGTATGTAGTGTATATTTTTAAAGCTGTCAAAGGCTCCAACATTGAAAATTACTGTCATGACATTTACCCGTCGCTTTTCTTTCACGAAGCAACTTCGCTCGCTTTGAAATGTAAAGCATTGTACTCGTTCCCCCTACAAAGTTCTTAGAAAAACATATTTGTTATATTTGTTATAGGGGGAGCAAGGGTAGTGGAGTGGTGAGAGCACTTGCGTCCCACCAATGTTGCCCGGGTTCGACCGGGTCGACGCCATATGTGGGTTGAGTTTGTTGTTGGTTCTCTCCCTTGCTCCGAGAGGTTTTTCTCCGGGTACTCTGGTTTCCTCCTCTCCTCAAAAACCAAAATTTTCAAGTTCCAATTCGACCAGGAATCAGGTAGACGAAGAACCACTAGGTGGATGTGCTACCTCTAAATCGTTATTTATTATTTATTTATTTATTATGCCTGGATTTCACTTGATGCTGTCAATTCGAGCGCGAATATCGTTCGTATAAAGTGACCGAGGATTTCTCCTGTAATTACCCTTTTGTAGCATAAAATGAGAAATATCTCCTGCCTTTCACCGGGCGCGAATCATTCGCGGTCTGGTTAAGGAAAGTGGTATTTTCCTTCTCGATACTTCGCTTTCTGTTACTATAGATCTCCCGCTCGGAGATGTGAAGTGTTCGAAGTCTGTATGAAAATAGACTTTGAAGTGACTGGTGATCTTTTGAGCGCCTGCTAATAGATTCTCAGGATACCATTGAAAAGCGCGCGTTTGTGAAATGTTTGGGTTCTTGGGTCTCCTGTGCCAGCATGGATAATAGAAAGACTGGACAGGAAACTTATGTCACGTGAGCTGATTTCTCATCGCTGATTGGTTGTTTCGTGCTCCAAGATGGCGTTGGATGGTTCCATCCATTATCCATGGTGCCAGGGTATACCTTTATTGTTATTGTCACAATAAGGATTATAGGCGGATTAATTCATGATCATGAGTTGTGGCTAACATCTTTTTCCTGCTAACTTCTCACGAATGAAATGCAGTTTTCCAGTAGATAAAGTATTGTGCCCGCTGTACTAAGAAAAACTGTAAGCCTTTTTTGGGGTTTTAGTTCTTAGATCACCTTGTGGCTGGAATTGAAGAAATCAGTGGCCAGCGAGGACATGGTTACTACTGGGTAAGATTCAATGGAATTCCTCTGAGAGTTCTGTTTCTTTGTTGTGCTTTGGGAATTTGTGTCTCTTTTAAAGCCTTCATTAGAGAGGTTAAGCATCATGTTTACGTCAAACGGCAAACGCGAATTTGTCGGTTACTGTTCATTATTTCTACACACAAAATAAAAGGAAAGTCGAATCACGAAGAAAAAGGGCACATTCTTGTGCAATGGTTTCTTGCTTTCTTTATTGCAAAGTAATGTAAGTTAGTTTGAACTCTTCCCGTGCCTTCAGCTAGCCTGTTTCTAGGCTCCAGGATAGTAATGTGCAGGGTTCGTGAAAACTGATGCGAAAAACGCGCGGATGCTGGGGAGAGAGATACACCACCGTCTCCTTCCCCAGATCGTCGCGTCTTATTTTCGCTTGGCTTGTTTTCGCGACTTCCTTACTATCTGAGAGCATTGCAGCTTTGTAGCTTTGACAATGCGTTCGGGTTTGACATCGGCTTCATGAGAGAACAAGAGAGGAAAAAGGGTTAGAGAAATTGTCAAACCTAATGANAAAGTATTGTGCCCGCTGTACTAAGAAAAACTGTAAGCCTTTTTTGGGGTTTTAGTTCTTAGATCACCTTGTGGCTGGAATTGAAGAAATCAGTGGCCAGCGAGGACATGGTTACTACTGGGTAAGATTCAATGGAATTCCTCTGAGAGTTCTGTTTCTTTGTTGTGCTTTGGGAATTTGTGTCTCTTTTAAAGCCTTCATTAGAGAGGTTAAGCATCATGTTTACGTCAAACGGCAAACGCGAATTTGTCGGTTACTGTTCATTATTTCTACACACAAAATAAAAGGAAAGTCGAATCACGAAGAAAAAGGGCACATTCTTGTGCAATGGTTTCTTGCTTTCTTTATTGCAAAGTAATGTAAGTTAGTTTGAACTCTTCCCGTGCCTTCAGCTAGCCTGTTTCTAGGCTCCAGGATAGTAATGTGCAGGGTTCGTGAAAACTGATGCGAAAAACGCGCGGATGCTGGGGAGAGAGATACACCACCGTCTCCTTCCCCAGATCGTCGCGTCTTATTTTCGCTTGGCTTGTTTTCGCGACTTCCTTACTATCTGAGAGCATTGCAGCTTTGTAGCTTTGACAATGCGTTCGGGTTTGACATCGGCTTCATGAGAGAACAAGAGAGGAAAAAGGGTTAGAGAAATTGTCAAACCTAATGAACCAAATGGAGGCTGTCAAACCCTTTTAATATTTCTCCTGAATCGTATTTTTCCTTCTTTTTTTTCCCCAGGAAATGTTAGAATATTTTCACAGTAATTACCTCAGAAAATGGTTGATTCGTGACAGTAATAGCTTCGTCCATGACGAGGATATATTGCTGGCCTACAGAAGACTGGCTTACAAGTAAGGAACGAGTTTCACGTGTCGAGTATTGTCCTGTTTATTCTCGCTTTTCAATGTTCAAAGTATATTGATATGTGGTTACTAAGATTGGCCAAAGTTAACATGCGACTTTGTTAAATATTTGTTTCAATGAACAATTAGCCCTCGCAATTTACACTTTACACTGTCATTAACCGACAGGACTGAACATTTGGGTCGTTTTGTAGCTGTTTTATCCTTAGTTATTTAGCACTTTAGTTATTTTGGTGAAGAAAAGAATTCTCTAATTGTATCGCGAGACTCCAGGGTAATAATTTCATTCATCCGGCATGTCTAACATTTGCTGATTTTATCTTGCGCGGAATAATTTGAAGTTAATTTAGCCTTTTCGCTAATCAGCCAATGAAAGTTGGTGTCATAACTAGAGTTCATTTGCATAGTTGTATTTAATAGTAAGTACACGCTTTGTGATTGGTCAATTCAGTAGCCCTTTGTGTTCTTTCGCGCCAATTTAGACAACTCAGTATGGCAATAAATACCCCTTTAACCTTGTTTGCTTGGTCTGTGCTTTTTTCAGAGACGCCCTGACTCGTTTAGAGAGAGAAGGTAGTGGAGCAGCGTTGTTTCAGAAATCAGGGTAAGAATAATTAATAGCTGTTTTGTTTGTCTGTTTATTTGTTTTTTTTTTGTCAAACAGTACAGTGAACTTTCGCTTATGACCCCTAGGTTTATACATCTTCGTAAGGAGTTTTATGAGGGCTTATAAACGCAGGGGTTTTCATCCGAGGGGGTTTATGACCGGTATAGAAAAAGGGCTTCAAAATATGCTAAAGCAGTGCTGATCAAAGTACGTTTTGCAGTTAGTGGTTTTCTATTAAGCTTTAAATGGAATTCATTTCAATACATTTGGAACTGAATTAGAGGGAGGCGTATGTCCGGGGGGCGCTTATAACAGGATGTATTTTTGTTTACGGGTAGATGGGCTTATAACTGGGGAGGTGAGGGGGCTTATAAGTCGGGTAGATTATAAGGGGGAGTTTACGGTATTCAGTTACACCATTTATAGTTGATAGAGTGGAATGGTGATGAACACAAGCATGTCAGACTCCTCTGTTACTGTATGTCTTTGTAGACTTGAAGGTGCACAACGTTCAATAGCATACCTGTTATTTTGGTCTTATTGACCAAGAAAAACGTGGCATTAACTTATTCCATTTTAATTTGTGAACAAAAAATCAAGGATTGTGCACTGTTATGGAGCTACGAACATAAACTGCAGCCGTTTTTTTATCTTTTATGTTTGCCGCCTTTCATAACCAATAATCCTTTCACCGCTGTTGTGGGTTATTTAACAAAGCAACAGCAGCTTTGCATTTAAACCCTCTTATGTTCAGCCCTAAAGTAGGAATTACCTGCAAAGTTTGACCATTTCATGGCGTAATAATATTTCTGAAAATTATGACGCCACTACATAAACTACAGGGAGAACGGGGTACAAGCCCGAGGCCGGGGGTACAAGTTTTTTCGCGCAAAGATATCTGGGATCGCGTATACTGAGGTACTGGTTTTCTTTGAACATGTTCAATGCCATTGACCAATTACAGCTAACGCTGTCCACCAAAACTCGACAAACCACTGCGCTGAAAGATTGTAGTCATCCGGCTCATTCCTCCTTTTTGCCTCTTGTTTATGAATAGGCAAATTATGGCGATGTTACTCGGGAACGTCGCGCGCGTCAAACATTGAAGCGATTAAGACTCACGTTTACGGCAAACAGCATACTTATAGTTTCTCAAATTAGGTAATGAGCAGACAAAAACTCTCCAAAATAGTTCGTATGGATGAACTAAACATGAAACGACTCTTTTTGTGTTGATATGTAATTAGCAGTAAAGGACAAGTAAACGGAAAACTTGGTCACGTGGTATAAATTGACATTTGCAGTTTGCTGCTAACGTGATTCGAAAGCTCTTTATTAGCGGGGAATACCCTTCAACGAGTTGGTCACCCAATACATATCGAATATATTAAAGGGGAATCTTTTAGAAGTGGTGTTTTCGTTGGCATTGTTTTCGTGTAAGCACAAGGCCTCTGATACAAGAGTTAAAACCAAGTTATAACCGTATGTACGCACTTTTCAACCTCTATTCCAGGCTTTCAGTAGAAATGTTGGCTCGCGGCGCATTTGAAGCAGCGGCGATCACGTCTATGTAAGTAGTAAATGAATTTTCAGGGAATGACCATTAAACCTCTTGTGAGAATACTTCACGTTAAGCTCAGTGGTAAAGAGCATAAGTGCATGTACGCGGAACTGAATGAGAAGGTAAAATTTGAGTTGTTTTATAGCACTGGCCTTTGGGGTGTAGCGAAGCTTCAGAGAGCGCCTAACAAATGAAAACAGTCCGGCACCAATAACATCCCCCTGATTGGTCATTTAAGTGACGTCATGCAGTAATGTAAGAATTGACAGGTAGCGAACTTGAGATAAAATCGTGCAACGTTTCACTTAGCATCAGATGTCGATTCACATTCATGTTTTTACGAAGGCTGCAAAGGGCTTAAACAGAAAAGGAAAATCACTGAACAGGAAGGAAGTCTTCAGTTTTATACGGTTTGGTAGCTGGTTTTATATGTTACTGTGCACTATTCTCTGTTCTTCTCAACTAGTAGCTAAAGGTGATCCCTTCTATGTATGTGGTGTATATTTTTAAAGCTGTCGAGGGCTCCAACATTGAAAATTATTGTCACGACATTTGCCCTTCGGTTTTCTTCCGCGAAACAACTTCGCTCTGAAAATTTCTTTTACGAAGAATTCAATGTGAAACATTGCACTCCTTCCCCCTACAAGGTTCTTAGAAAAACACATTTGTTATAGGATATCATAAAGCCTTGATTTCACTTGATGCTGTCAAATGGGTTTAAATTCGAGAGCGAATATCGTTTATAACAAGTGACCGAGGATTTCTCCTGTAATTACCCTTTTGAAGTATCAATTGAGAAATGTCTCCTCTTTACGTTTTTCAAGATGTAACTGAGCGCTAATCATTGGCGGTCTGGTTAAGGAAAGTGTTACTTTCCTACTCGATACTTGGCTTTCTGTTACTATAGATCTCCCGCTCGGAGGTCTGAAGTGTTCGAATTCTGTTTGAAAATAGACTTTGAAGTGACTGGTGATCTTTCGAGCGCCTGCTAATAGATTCTCAAGAGACCATTGAAAAGCGCGCGTTTGTGAAATGTTTGGGTTCTTGGGTCTCCTATCCAAAACTCTGTGCCAGCATGGATAATAGAAAGACTGGATAGGAAACTTATGTCACGTGAGCTGATTTCTCATCGCCGATTGGTTGTTTCGTGCTCCAAGATGGCGTTGGATGGTTCCATCCATTATCCGTGGTGCCAGGGTATACCTTTAGTGTTATTGTTATAGGCGGATTAATTCATGATCATCAGTTGTAGCTAACATCTTTTTCCTGCTAACTTCTCACGAATGAAATGCAGTTTTCCACTAGATAAAGTATTGTGCCCGCTGTACTAAGAAAAACTGTAAGCCTTTTTTGGGGTTTTAGTTCTTAGATCACCTTGTGGCTGGAATTGAAGAAATCAGTGGCCAGCGAGGACATGGTTACTACTGGGTAAGATTCAGTGGAATTCCTCTGAGAGTTCTGTTTCTTTGTTGTGCTTTGGGAATTTGTGTCTCTTTTAAATTGTTCATTAGAGAGGTTAAGCATCATGTTTACGTCAAACGGCAAACGCGAATTTGTACCATGTGACCAAGTTTCCCCTTTTCTTGTTGTTTACTGTTCATTATTTCTACACCTAAATTCGTAGTTTCACGCAATTTTTTANAAAGTATTGTGCCCGCTGTACTAAGAAAAACTGTAAGCCTTTTTTGGGGTTTTAGTTCTTAGATCACCTTGTGGCTGGAATTGAAGAAATCAGTGGCCAGCGAGGACATGGTTACTACTGGGTAAGATTCAGTGGAATTCCTCTGAGAGTTCTGTTTCTTTGTTGTGCTTTGGGAATTTGTGTCTCTTTTAAATTGTTCATTAGAGAGGTTAAGCATCATGTTTACGTCAAACGGCAAACGCGAATTTGTACCATGTGACCAAGTTTCCCCTTTTCTTGTTGTTTACTGTTCATTATTTCTACACCTAAATTCGTAGTTTCACGCAATTTTTTATCCATAAGAATTGTTTGGACCTCTTTTTATATGCTCATTTTCTATTTTGAGAAATTCTCATCTTGAATCTGCCGTTTTCCGTTTGCCGTAAACGTGAAGCTTAATCTCTCTATAATTATCATGAAAAAGTGACTGCATACTGGAAGTTAGTGCTATTATGGGAAGGGGAGTGAGGTGGGGGAATGGAACGTTTTCTGCCGATTTCCACCCTCACAGGAAAGAGTTTCAGAATACAGTTACACAATCAAAATGAAAAAAAAGGTTTTTAATGAGGAGTTTATTAGAGTGCAAAAATAGTGTTTGTATACACGTGCCATTGAGAGGCCGTTTCATATGTTCTTATCCCATTGATTCGACCAGTCGAATACAACCAAAAACTGCTAAAAATTTCGCTTCTTCCAGTCCCACTGCCACACTTGAGTCGCCAACAGTAGCCTATGAAAGAGTGTGTTACAAGCGTTTTGCTTTAACTGTCTAATAAGCCACTCTTGTTTGATGACTAAACGGTCCAGTTTTTTTATGAGATCGTATCAATTGTCCACCGTTAGAAGCAATCTGTGGTTCTTGATTCACGGCAGCTCGTAAATATTACGTGAAAGAAAAAAAGGAAAGTCGAATCACGAAGAAAAACGGCACCTATTTGTGCAATGGTTTCTTGCTTTCTTTATTGCAAAGTAATGTAAGTTAGTTTGAACTCTTCCCGTGCCATCAGCTAGCCTGTTTCCAGGCTCCAAGATAGTAATGTGCAGGGTTTCGTGAAAACTGATGCGAAAAACGCGCGGATGTTGGGGAGAGAGATACACCACGCACGTCTTATTTTCGCTTGGCTTGTTTTCGCGACTTCCTTACTATCTGAGAGCATTGCAGCTTTGTAGCTTTGACAATGCGTTCGGCTTTGACATCGGCTTTATGAGAGAACAAGAGAGGAAAAAGGGTTAGAGAAAATGTCAAACCTAATGAACCAAATGGAGGCTGTCAAACCCTTTTAATATTTCTCCTGAATCGTATTTTTTCTTCTTTTTTTCGCCAGGAAATGTTAGAATATTTTCACAGTAATTATCTCAGAAAATGGTTGATTCGTGACAGTAATAGCTTCGTCCATGACGAGGATATATTGCTGGCCTACAGAAGACTGGCTTACAAGTAAGGAACGAGTTTTAAGTGTTGAGTATTGTCCTGTTTATTCTCGCTTTTCAATGTTCAAAGTAAATTGCATTGATATGTGGTTACTAAGATTGGCCAAAATTAACATGCGACTTTGTTAACTATTTGTTTCAATGAACAATTAGCCCTTCAGTTTACACGTCATTAACCGACAGGACTGAACATTTGGGTCGTTTTGTAGCTGTTTTATCCTTAGTTATTTAGCGCTTTAGTTATTTTGCTGAAGAAAAGGAATTCCCTAATTGTATTGTGAGACTCGAGGGTAATAATTTCATTCATCCCGCGTGTCTAACATTTCCTGATTTTATGTTGCGCGGAATAATTTGAAGTTAATTTAGCCTATTCGCTAATCAGCCAAAGACAGTCGGTGTTATAACTAGAGGAACTTCATTTACATAGTTGTATTTAATAGTAAGTGCACGCTTTGTGATTGGTCAATTCAGTGGCCCTTTGTGTTCTTTCGCGCCAATTTAGACAACTCAGTATGGTAATAAATACCCCTTTAACGTTGTTTACTTGGTCTGTACTTTTTTCAGAGACGCCCTGACTCGTTTAGAGAGGGAAGGTAGTGGAGCTGCGTTGTTTCAGAAATCAGGGTAAGAGGAATAGCTGTTTTGTTTGTTTGTTTGTTTGTTTGTTTTTTTGTCAAACAGTACCTTAAACTGTCGCTTATTAGCTCTTATACATCTTCTTATACATCTTTCGGGCGTAAGGGGTTTTATGATGGCTAATAAACGCGGAGGTTTACACCCAAGGGGGATTATGACCGGTACAGAGAAAGGGCTTCAAAATAATAAAATAAGTTTTGCGTTTACTGGTTTTTCAATTAAGCTTTAAAACACTATAATGAATCAAATTCATTTCAATACATTGGAAAGTGAATTAGAGAAAGACTTATGTCCGGGGGGTGCTTATAATCGGGTGTATTTTTGTTTACAGGTAGACGGGCTTATAACTGGGGGGGGCTTATAAGTCGAGGAGCTTATAAGCGGCAGTTTACGGTATTCAGTCACATCATTTATAGTTGATAGGGTGGAATGGTGATGAACACAAGCATGTCAGACTCCTCTATTACTGTATGTGTCTTTAAAGACTTGACGGTGCACAGCGTTCCATAGCGTACCTGTTATTTTGGTCTTATTGACCAATAAAAACCTGACATTAATTTATTCCGTTTTCATTTGTGAACAAAAAACCAAGGATTGTGCACCGTTATGGATCTCCCAACATAAACTGCAGCCGTTTTTTTCAATCTTTGATGTTTGCCGCCTTTCATAACCAATCTATGGCTACAACTAGTTGCTGCGAAAAGAAGGGGGTTATTTAACAAAGAAATAACAGCTTTCCATTTATACACTATTAATTTCAGCCCTAAAGTAGGAATTACCTGCAAAGTTTGACCATTTCATGGCGTAACAATATTTCTGAAAATTATGAGCCACTACATAAACTACAGGGAGAATGGGGTACAAGCTCGAGGCCGGGGGTACAAGTTTTTTCGCGCAAAGATTTCTGGGATCGTATACTGAGGTACTGGTTTTCTTTGAACATGTTGAATGCCATTGACCAATCACAGCTAACGCTGTCCACCGAAGCCCGACAAATCACTGCGCTGAAAGATTGTAGTCATCCGGCTCATTCCTCCTTTTTTCGTCTTGTTTATGAATAGGCAAATTCTGCTGACGTTACTCGGAAAGTCACGCGCGTCAAACATTGAAGCGATTAAGACTCACGTTTACGGCAAACAGCAAACTTATAGTTTCTCAAATTAGGTAATGAGCAGACAAAAACTCTCCAAAATAATTTGTATGGATGAACTTGACATGAAACTACGCTTTTTGTGCTGATATACAGGGACAAGTAAACGGAAAACTTGGTCACGTGGTACAAATTGACATTTGCAGTTTGCTGCTAACGTGATTCGAAAGCTCTTTATTAGCGGGGAATACCCTTCAACGAGTTAGTCACCCAATACATATCGAATATATTAAAGGGGAATCTTTTAGAAGTGGTGTTTTCGTTGGCATTGTCATCGTGTAAGCGCACGGCCTCTTATACAAGAGTTAAAACCAAGTTATAACCGTATGTACGCACTTTTCAACCTCTATTCCAGGCTTTCAGTAGAAATGTTGGCTCGCGGCGCATTTGAAGCAGCGGCGATCACGTCTATGTAAGTAGTAAATGATAGAAATGGGATATGGTACAACAACAAAAATACCAATCCTTTTTGTTACTTTACACAAGTACCTGATTGGTATTGTTTATATTTTTTGAGTAATATATTGTGTAAACCTTCTCGCGTGGGTCGGATTCGCAAGCTTTTTGAAATTTTCTGCCAAACGTCTTTGTTCACACGTAAGTGATGGAGACCCTAAAGTGTCAGAATGAAAAAATGCGACACGTAAAGGACACAAAGTTGCTTTTTAGTGATATTTTGGTTATGACAATATAGGATCTGATCTGCCGTAAAACAATTAGGTAAACTGTACTATTANATACAAGAGTTAAAACCAAGTTATAACCGTATGTACGCACTTTTCAACCTCTATTCCAGGCTTTCAGTAGAAATGTTGGCTCGCGGCGCATTTGAAGCAGCGGCGATCACGTCTATGTAAGTAGTAAATGATAGAAATGGGATATGGTACAACAACAAAAATACCAATCCTTTTTGTTACTTTACACAAGTACCTGATTGGTATTGTTTATATTTTTTGAGTAATATATTGTGTAAACCTTCTCGCGTGGGTCGGATTCGCAAGCTTTTTGAAATTTTCTGCCAAACGTCTTTGTTCACACGTAAGTGATGGAGACCCTAAAGTGTCAGAATGAAAAAATGCGACACGTAAAGGACACAAAGTTGCTTTTTAGTGATATTTTGGTTATGACAATATAGGATCTGATCTGCCGTAAAACAATTAGGTAAACTGTACTATTAACTTGGCAGTTTTTAAGTTGAAATATGTTTTGTTTGACAGTGAACCGAGTGAAGTTGAAGAAGAAGAAGAAACTAAACCGATGTTAAGGTAACGCTTTGTTTATTTATCTGCCAGCTGAGCTTTTTCTAGTGACTAAAATTTATTCCCTCTTTCCTTCGCATCAGGCATTTTTGACGATTTAAGACGGGAAAGCGTTCGCAGCGGTTGGGGAGCGCAGAACGCAGTAGCAGTCTTTTTCTTTGCCAAAGATATGAGTGACTTATAACATATGTAAAAGTGTTTTTTTTTTCTATCATCAATGGTCATTTATGTTCCTTCTTCAGAGCCGGCGACGATGTTCGTGTTCCGGATTCTGTCCAAAAAGACTGGAGAGCTAAAGGAGGTAATGTTACCCGTTCTATCAAATATTTTACGGCAGACTGTTGGGGCTGTGTATGCTTTATAGCTAAATAAATACATATAGGAGACATCACTGTTTACAAACATTGTTTTTGGAAAGAGTGAAACAAAAGAATCGTTTTGTTTCAAGGACCAATGCGCTGCTAGTTGGCTCATTAATATCAATTCACCAATAGTCGCCTTGTTACCTTTTATTTTTTTACATTTTTTCAATTATTTATGATTATATACGGCACTGACATAATTTAACAGTTTTAGTGTTTACAGTGGTCTAGTTATTCCAATATCCATTTCCCTTCTGTACTTCCTTTTCAGCACCAAGTGGAGGGGAACTTGAAATTCACGACTCTGCCCACAGTCTTAATAACTTATTAACAAGAAACATGACTAGTTTTGTAAGTGCTGACGTTTGAATTTTTGGTCTTTTTTCCCTATCACCCGATTTGCGCGTCACTTCAAATGTAGCTGATTACTAGCGTTCTTGACTTGACAAGTGTTTTTTTTCTTCTTCACAGAGACATAGAAAGATGTTCAGAAATAATCTAATTGACGACGATGAAGAATTCTTCACGGGAAGAAGATATCTTATGCCCATGTAAGTTACGATTGCTCTTTCGGAACATTTTTCTGTTCATTTTACAATTCAATTCGGGACAAACACTCAACATTTGTTGAGAACCAATATTGCCACAGTCAAAAGTTCTCTTTGAACTTTGAGTGATCACAAGGAAAAGGTTAAAAATAAATTTGGAACGTCATAAGTATTGCAAAATAGAAACAACCGTCAATATCGTGACTGTTCGGTAGGGGCTTATATGTAGAGGACAAAGGAGAATGCTTAAGGATATGTGGCAAAAAGTCATAGAAGAATTCAGCTCGTGCACGAAGTTAGCAAGCTACTGATCCGCGTAGAACACGTACTAGAATTCAAAGCAAAGACGGACATCTGGTAAAACGGACACGTAAAGTTGGTCCCTGCATTTAGCTTTTCCTTTTATTTGACTCTCAATAAGACAGTCTCCTAGTGCAGGTCCCAGACATGTCCGTCTTAGAAGAAGTTGACTGGACCCCCAGTGGAGGCTCACAAGCGTTTGCCCCGGATGAACTTTCGTATTATCTTTCCATCAGAAACTTCTGTTAAGGGTGCATCTCTGATAAGGAGAAGGAAACAGTTGTTTTTTGTGTCCCAATATGCTAATCTCTCCGTCAAGGAGAATTAATCCACTCTTATGCATTTAATAGACGATGATTTCCTGCTTTTTGTAAAAGAAGTTAACAGGCCCTTTGCAGCTAGTAATGGAGAGCCAGGGGCAAACGGGGACGAGACAAACAAAGAGCTCACATCATTATTTTAAACTGGTAATTTCCTTTCTACGTCTCCTGCTCTCCAATATGGCGGTTTTGTACCACGTAGATGACTAGCTGTAAAGAGCCTATTTTAAACAATGCGGGCCTCATTTCTGTCACAGGACGTTTTCAGTAAATGGAAACTTCTTTGTCCCACGGTAATCTGGTTATCTAAATGGAGATTCGCTGTACTTGATATTCCGTATAATTTTACAGTTAGACTACGAGTAGTCCCTCATTTTCCCTCAGGGATAGCCGAGCGAGCGAAACGCGGGAACTGGAAAAAGAAACTGAAAGACAGAACTGTTTTTGACCGGTTCAGAAGAGGGTGGCCGGAGAAAGACAGTCTGCATGTGATAATCATGAAAGCCAATCAGCCGATTAAGCGGAGACAACGCGACGAAAGCGCGTGCAGTTAACCGACCAATGAGAAGACGGCAGATTGAGAACCGGAAGTTGGGTTCAGTCCTTTCCGCGCTTTTTTTTGTTCTCATTTGACTTATGCCTTGACTTTACTAGATCTGCCTTATAATGAATTAAAACGCTATATTTTCAGGCAACCGCGGCCGACAGCGTATCAAAATCAGATCATGGTGAATTCCAAGCCTGTCCACATTTACCCTCATAAACGCAAGCCAAGACGTCACAAGCACAAACACAAACACCGCAAACGGCGCGACGAACCAATGAAAAAAAAGTTGTCTGCAATATTTGAAGAAACGGATGCTGGAGAACAGGTAGGACCCTACATCATTTCCTCGCGAAGTCAAAAGTATCGTACGTGCCTCTCCTTCCTCGCCGGGAAATACGCTTGAACTTCCATTAAGCGGCCACCCTCGGGGTACTGGCAAGTGGCCTTTCAGTTGGAGGATCGTCATAAATCAGGATAATCTTAAGCAGAAACGTCGCTTTATTTTAAAAGTGCGGCAAAAAAAAATTACTGGTCCACAATCGCTTGTCACTTTATCTCGGACTGTACTTTTCTTCATCATGTTCTTGAAATGGAGCCAAACCTAGTGAAGATCAGTATAGCCGCTTAATAGAGATAACAACAATGGTGTAACTCTCGTTAGGATGGCCTAAAGGTGGCCGTGGCGGTTTAATAGAGGTTTCATCCCCCCTTCTCTTCTACAATAGTTTCGGGACTTTGATTACTGGTCGCTTAACAAGGGGTGACCGCTTGATAGGGGGTCGCTCAATGGAGGTTCGACTGTAATAACCTAGTGAAGGCACGTATTCGTCCATTCTGTGCATTTAAACCTCGTTTATCTCCGTCTAATACGATGTAGTTTCCCGTGTAACTCCGACTTTTGTTGTTTGATAAGAGAACATGGGACCTACATCACAGCTACATCGCTAAATGACTTAACAATTTACTCTGTCCTTCCATCTTTAAAAAAATGGCTAAAGAATAAATTTAAATGTCCGTTAAGAGAGAGTAGACTGTATTCGACACGGGATACGAATCGGCAACTGTTGTCGTCGTTGTTGTTATCTCACCAACAAAGGTCGTCTCCTTGAAATTCTCTAGAGTCCACTCTCTCTTAACGGACACCCCTATAGGACGGACAACTCAGTAAAACAGATACCTAGAGTTGATCCCTGCCTTTCTTTGTTCCCTTTATTTGACTCTATATAAGAAAGACACCACTCTTAGACGGACATTTAGAAGTACCAGTCCCAAAGATGTCCGTCTTAGAAGGAGTCCACTGTGTGTATTCAGTAATCATCCTTGGTCTTTGTTTCAGGATGGAAACAGGTCTCCTACACTGGAGCCTCAAGTTGGACCTATCCCCAGTAGCGAAGACGATGAACCTGGTATCACATTTGAGGCATCACGTAAACATGGAAAAATGGGTCGGTATCCATCCTTTGAAGAGAATGAAGCAAAACAGCAGGAGACGTAAGTGCGAAGCATGTATCACCTATAAGACAGGGGTTTTTTTGTAGTATAAAGGGAAGGGGGGTAAGGGATTGGCAGGAGGCAGCGGCGGGCCGAGCGTGTCCGTGGACTTAAGGGCTCCATTCGATTCTGCTAGGCCAGGTGTAAAAGATATTTTGCACTGAAAGTACATCCATACTTTGGAGCCGTTTACATGGAACATAAAAAAGTGTTTACTTAAGAAAATGTTATTATCATTCGATGCAAATTTTTCTTCCTTTTTATTGGCCGAGAGCCCACCACGTGACCTGCAAAGAACTGCCTACAAATGATGGTCTGCTAAGGCGCAATGTCGTCTTTCAACTGTGTTTGGCTGCAAATAATATTCTGCTCATGCGTAAACGAAACTACGCTTTTCTCCTTCTTGCGATCGCTCCTGCGTGAAAATGGCAGATGGCTTCCATTCTATGAGTTTATTCATTGAAAAGAAACTCGCATTCGAATGATAAAACAATGTTGAACTCGACTAACGCAAAATATTGTGATTTTTCATTGTCTCGCAGGTCAATTATTGCAAAATGGCAGATGGCTTCCATTCTATGAGTTTATTCATTGAAAAGAAACTCGCATTCGAATGATAAAACAATGTTGAACTCGACTAACGCAAAATATTGTGATTTTTCATTGTCTCGCAGGTCAATTATTGCGGGAAACAATTGATGTGCTCGCCACTGACAAATCACGGTATTTTGCTCAACCTCGTCGAAAAATTGTTTATTATCATGAGGTTGCGCAGGAAACTGGGTCAAAATTTGTCGCCAAAAAAGTCCCATAGTGCAATTCGACACAATACCGATTAAATCTCGCGACTCTCAAAGTGGTCAATTTACTCTCTAAAGCCCCGCGCAAACGGACGCAACATTTTTGGCCAACAACTCCCAACATTAAACACTTCGTGACTGGTCCAGAGGGAAACAGTGTTTGTTTCGAGGGGGAACATTAAACATTAAACTATATCGTATTGTTGATGTGTTCCTAATAAAGTTGTTGTTGTTTTTGTTGTCCCTAGGGACCAGTCTTGAAGTGGTTTGTTATATAGCTAGAAATTCATTAAACCTCGCTGTAAAACGGCGGTCGTTAGTCAACATTTGCAGGTGACAGTGTACTGTTACCCTCTGACGTCATAGATTTCGCAATGTTAACCGCTCAGAGATTTTGGCGGGGAACAGTTTTATTGTTAGATGTCATGTGATCTCGAAGTAACCAATAAGAGCGGACGCTGTTAGGAAAAAGTTTCCAGCTATATAACCGATTTTTGGATGTTACATATTGTTGCGTGTTGTTGGGACTTGCTGCCCAAAGTTTTAAACCGGTCAAACTTTTGAGTCAACAACTCCCAGCGTTTCTTTTCTTCAAGGGATCGCCGAACGTAGCACAACAATGATGGATCCGTTAGCACAGCTCTTAACAGCTCTTCCAACATTGTTGGGGCTACGCACGTGCATTGCACATGGTCTCCTTGGAGACAGCAACGCAACTACTTCGTGTGGTAGACCAACACGCCAACATTGTTGGGAGTTGTTGCATCCGTTGCACATCACTGCCAAGACGGACGCAACAACTTCCAACATTGTTGACCCAACAATGTTGGGAGTTGTTGCTTCCTTTTGCACTTAGCTTGATATCCAAGTAAAAGGGTTAAGAATAACAGTCTTTATTCCTTCAACAGAGCTGCATCTCCAAGCGAATCGTCTTCGAGTGACTCATCATCTGATGAAGATGACAGCAAACCAGCGGATTTGCACTTAGCTTGATATCCAAGTAAAAGGGTTAAGAATAACAGTCTTTATTCCTTCAACAGAGCTGCATCTCCAAGCGAATCGTCTTCGAGTGACTCATCATCTGATGAAGATGACAGCAAACCAGCGGACGATTCAAAAAAGAAGAATAACATTCCTCTAGATTCTTTCGTCGTCAATATTGAAGATGAAAAGAAGGAAGGGAAAGATGCAGAAAGTGTTATGTAATAAACTTTTCTAAGATTGTTTAGTTAGGTTGTAAAGTAAATTGAAACGGCCAGTCAGAAAAGGCCATTTTACAGTTATAGATGTAAACGAGGGTAGAGTTGACCTTGTTTTGATATAACCGTAGCTTCCAATTTTATTATGTAAATCATGATGCTCTTATGCTAACTAGTATTTTTCAAGCATAATTTCCATAAGGAAAGGAAAGAGTTATTTCCGTCAAAACAACGTCAACCTCAGCCTCTCATTCACTCAAAGCCTAAGGCCCCGTCCACACGAATCCCGATGTTTTTTCAATCTGAAACTTGTTCTTTCCGAATTCAAAAATTTCCACGAGCACACGTATCAATATTCAAATCGAATTTGCCCGTCCAAACGAATCCGACACGTATCCGGGTATCCGGGTGCACTCTAGTACTCAGAACTCCTCTGGGAATATTGGCAACAGAGCATGCGTCGTCGAGCGCGGGAAATTTGCATCTTTCTCTGCCTTTCACGGTAAAGAACTGGGCTCGGTCTTGTTTCATCACCGGATAAAAAATATCTGGATTTAGCGTCCACACGATTCCGGATTCATAGCGTATTCAAAATTGTCACTCTGGAGAGCGGATTCAAAAAGTTGCGGATTCGTATGTTGGATTCACCGGATACGTGTTGACGGAAGCCGTGTCCAGAAAGAAAAATTTGCGGATTCCAAAATATCCGGATACGTGTGGACGGAACCTAAGGTAGTAAGCCCACACCTGTAAAATGGTCTATTCAGTTTTCGAAAAATCGTTGATGGCCCCATTGAAAAAATTATATCTTATTTAAGAACTCGATACAGAGCCTTCAACGAAGCAACATTGCAGCGATATTCCATGATTTTTTTTTTTACTTTGAAATAATTATCCGAGGACGGTGTAAGAAAAAGTAATGCGAATAGGTAGGGTTTTATTAATTTTTTTGTTTAAAATTTCGACATTTTTCCGCATAGTGAACAGGTGTTTATGCTATCCGGTAAACTGTAGGCATAGCCTGATGCATTATTTTGTTATGAATATTTAGTGGAATGTCATGTTCGCGTACTTTATGCTGTCAATTAATGAGATTGCTTTTTGTCCTAGCTGGACTAGAAAACAATTTTGCAATGGCATTGCGGCGAAGTTCCCGCCAAAGAAATGAATGTCTAGGAAGCTAATTGTGCATGTTGGACGCTGTTAAACGTCACTGAGTTGACTCCCAGGGTTTTTCCTCCCCCAAGAAAGAAATTTTTCCCTCCAGTACAAACGTTTCCTAGCGTCATTAGAAAAAAATTAATGTACCTTGATACAGTGTACTCTGAAGAAAATTGAAAATGTTTATTTGTAAATGTTTCGATTTACGTGAGTTTTTTTTATAAGTTACCGAAGGTACATACGCGATAAAAAATACTGGCTACAAAGTAGCTTGTTAATTTGTACTATGGATACGTCATAAATGAGATGTAAATGTTGTCAGTAATGATAAGTTTATAAGCCACTTTTACAGGCAAAATTTAGATACCTTATTGTTTCTGGGAGTAATTAGGAGATGTAATTTTCTTGTCAAAGTGGCAGGTACTTTATTAACTTCCAGACATCTAATTATTTAATGCATATTTTTCATTTTGGCTATTAGACAGAAATGCTGAATGCTGCATTTTCCTGTAAAAATAAGTGCAGTAGTTTAGGAGATTCAATTAAATTAAGGACACGGTGAGCAAGCTGTGATGCAACCGCTGCTTCTAAAATCATTGGTACCCACTCCATTAACCTTCTCCTTTAAAAAAATTTCAAAGAAATTTGCCCACTGCTAGAATAGCCCACGTTCCCACGTTCAATATATTAAAATTCTAACAGGACTCCGAGGCGTTAGGGACAAAATTGCAAATTTTTCATGATTCTATTGTCTTGCAATTCCCAGAAGAGACTTGAGCACAGAGAAAACCAAACCTCGGAACCTTGGACTCAAATTAAGATTTTAATTTATCAAATGGAATGTTGCCCACTTCAGAAACTCTGGGGAGAATGGGTACAAGCTTCGGGTGCAGTGATTTCTGGGATTGTTTTGGAAGACAAGCGTTAGTTATGATTGGTGGAGGCAACCATTAACGAAACATAACTAACGCTTGTCTACCCAAACAATCCCAGAAATCGTTGCGCCAAAAGCTCCATTCCCTTAAAGCCCCGTGCAAACGGACGCAACATTGTTGGGTGGTTACATTCGTCCGTTTGCACACCCTGTCGGGTGTTGTTGCGCAAAGTTTGAAACCGGTCAAACGTTTAGCTACGTGCGAATGGACGCAACAACGATCAAAATTGTTGGCTCAACAATGTCTTATTTCTTCTTTTGACCGTGGACTGTAGACTGCGAGCAGTCTCTCTTTTTCTTCAGATTTAGTAAGAGGAGTGCACGCGCGCGCGATCTTTGAGTGGCAAAGCCGCGAGACGCGAGAAACGAGGGCGGCTCGTGCCTCTCCCGTCTCGCGCCTTTAGTCACCCGCGTGATCATTTGCGTGTCTCGAGCGTTTTGCTCGACGGACCAAGAAAAAAGAGAGACTGCTCGTAGTCTAGTGGACTGATACGAAGCATAAGAATTTGATTCCGGGAGATTTCGCAGCTACTTGACAAAGAGAGCAAGTTAAGGACCGTTTTTTTGGCGTCCCCGTCGTGGTTGCTTAAGCTCTCTGATATACCTATCAGGTGATAATATACCTTACTAGTGTACGTCCACTCAAATCAGAGACATTTCATAGAGTGAACTAATACAACTTGTGGTACTGTTTCTCTTCTCAAGTGAAACTTTTTCTTTGATTACTGTGACCAACGCCTTGCAGAAGCCCTGTGTAGCCACTAGACACTTGCTAGAAACGTCTGTCCGCTTTCGTGCTGAAAAAGGAGCAAAAAATTAAAAGAGCAAAGTAACCCTTTTCACGAAAAAAATCTGGCAGATGACTTAACTTATCCAATGGCCGTGCGCAATTATAGTTGAACTTATTAAAACTAAAAACTATTAAAGATTAAATTGGCATTATTATTGTTGTCTCTTAAGACAAATTGAAATTTCAAAAGTAAACTCAATTCCGTCGGTCTCCATCCATCATCGGAGACCCAGGGGCTGTCAGTTAGGTCGGCAAAAAGGCGGCGAAAGATTTTAAGGACAGGCGGGAGAGCCCACGGGATGCTACTCTTAGCGAACCAGTTCCATGACTCATTCGAATGCTTGTCTCTGATTGAGAACAAAAAATGTGTTTGTGCCCAATCGGAGGCCAGAATCTGTCGCGCTGGTTTCGTGATCTTCTTATAAAAAAGAGTTCTCATGCACATGCAAACTCGACTGCTTGCCGTACGGCTAGTGTTGAAAATGGGCCCCCCAAAAAACAAGAAATTACATACTTAGCAGCATGTAGCAAAACAAAAAAAAAAAACGAAAAATGCACCAACCGATGAAATGGGACTGAGAACTGATCGACACCTGAGTACTTCTAGGCTTGTTTATGCAACTCTGCAAGTGTACTTTTCCAGTTTCGTTCGATACTGTTGTGTCACTGAGGAGAAATAACTAACAGCAAACTTGCATAAATAACTTTAAAGTCTCCTGCACGTGCCTGACAAGTAGGCCGAACAGGCGTAACGTAAACTGAACAGCCAGGCTCACGGTTTCGCATGAACATGCCTAGAAGTATTCTGCTGTTTATGAATTTACCTTCGATCAGTCCACAGTCTGATTTCTTCAACTGGTGCATTTTTCACTGAAAACTGAAAACTCCTCTCGAAAAAATCACTCCTACAGGAGCCAGACAGGTACGGCGAAAAGTCGAGTTTGCAGCTGAACTCCTTCGCGCAAAAAGATGATGACAGCAGCGCGAGAGATTCTGGCCTCCGATTAGGCACAAATAAATTTTTTGTGCCCAATAAAAGACAAGAATTCAAATGAGTCGTGGAACTGGTTCGTTAAGAGTACCATCCCAGGGGCTCTCTCGCCTGTTCTTGAAAACTTTCTCCGCCTTTAATTTTTTTCCCGACTTAACGTCCATACAACACCCGTGGAAACCAAGAAGGTGGATAAACCGCAAAACTCGTCAAAACATGTAGCCTGCGTAGCAGGCGCTTGGAAGTAATGGGCACAAGAAAAAACGGGCGCGGGAGAAGGAGACACGCGAGGGGACACCCCTCTGGTGTCTCCCTCGCGCGCGCCCGTTGTCTCTTTCGCCCACTACTTCCAAGCGCCTGCTACGCAGGCTACAAAACATGTTACCTTGTTAACATTAATAACGCTACTTCATTCTCGGAGGTTCTGTTTTACAACTACAAAAACCTAACTCACATAATACTGATTTTCAAGCAGAGACTTATTCTTTACCAATTATTTCTTGAAAAGGACAAGTAAAATTGACAACACAATTTCCCCCACGTCATAAGAAGATATCTAATCTTAGCTTTAGAGACCGAACCGTCCTCCTGTCAGAGTCGGCAGTGAATTCTGAAGTGGAAAATGATGCCTTGCGATCAGACGGGTAACTTGAACGAATTGTGAAATTTCGTCGTGTATTTATTACATCAGATAATCTGCTTACATGCATTTCTTGATTAGAATCTTTTCACTCCAACTGTTTTGTCAAATAACGTAGGCTGCAAAAATTCCCCCTCTTTGTCAACAAGGAAGAAAAAACTGTGGCCTTTCAACTTCAATGTCACTTGTGGCTTTGTACCTTCAAAGACAGGCAAAGATGAGCATGTTACACGAAGCCTGAGAGTTAACTCTTGTATCATTCACTCAAAATATTTTCCTGTTTCTGATTGGCTCAAATTCCCCGGCTAATTCTTCAAAACCACACCGGGTTGACCAGATTTGGAGGACGTTGGCGATCGTCAATGGTACAGGATAAACGCCAGAAAAAGGGACGGTAATTGAGACAGACTGGCAACCAGGGTGCGTTGTTTTGGTAGCGATGGAGAAAACGGCGAATAATTTGACATATTTGTCAAAAAAGAAATCGTCAAACTACTGGCTAAAAACAGCACTAGCAAAATTGACGGATGACAACTGCTGTTTGAAGAATTTCTGCTGGTTAAATCTTCCCTTTATCTGTTTATATCCTGGATTTACTGCGTAACAGTCAAACGAAGACAGGAACTTAACATCGATCAAGTTAAGCATATTATTTTGAATGAATAATAAAAAAAAATTCCTGGATACGGCTTTCTTAGGATCTGAAGAATTTTGCAAATCTAGGGGATTGTTATCCAATTTGCATAATTCTTTAGATCATATTTAGCCTCATCCAATAATTGTTAAGTATTGTGTGAAGTCCCTTTTCATTAATTTTATCACAGCAGCAAGTCAGACACTCAGACACCAACCCACGACCTGGCCAGTATCATTTGCATGTGTACAGCCATATCACCTGGCCCATGGCAACCATGGACAGCTGTTTCTCTCTAATTTGGCCATGTGCCACATAAGTTGTCTGTGTGAGTGTTCTTATTACCCACTGAATAAGCTATGGTCACAGAAATTTTGCCACATAAAACAAAGAGTGGTAATTTGTATGTCACGAACATGCATGGGACATGAGTCTCCAACAGAATTCAAACATATGACTCTTAAACACTGGGGGTTGCTCTATTAAGAGCTAAGAAGAGGACAAATAATGCCACATGAAGTCGAACCTGTAAAAAGTGCATGGTCACCATTAGGGATGGCTTACTGAAGGCTAAATACAGGCTGACTGTTTCATACAGGTTTGTTTATGCATTTTATGTATTTTCCCTCAAAGATATTAGCTCCTGTAAGCTACTCTAAAAATCGGGACTAATAGAGATGTAAGAGTTCATCTTCATCATCAAGAATAACTTGTAGGTTTCTCAAAGCTGTGCACTAACTTTACGTTTCATTGTAATTACCAATTCTGGAACCTGAGCAGGACACCTCTGAGATGGGAACCGTTAAAGATCGTGTTCCACCCAGAGGTGTATGAGTCACCACCCGTACATTGTTCCCCTGAAGCACCAGTCGGTTTACACTCCTGAAAAGAAGTTGAGAACATCAGACATGTTATTTTGAACTCATTCTTATCTCAGTCTTGCCTTGCACTTCAAATGCTGAATATTACGCCCTGGGCTGTACTCTAGCAGCGCCCAGTGGCTTATGGTGTCTTACTTTTGTCTTGTGCAACTAGAAAATCTACCTTTTTTCATACAAATCATATGCTGGGCACCCTGGATTTCACAAGGTCAGAGCACAGCCTTGATGCAGTTCAATCAGACATGCCTTACCCGTTTTTTTTTTTTTCTTAAAAGATTCTTTTTACATAAACAACCTCTATTCAGTAGCATTATTGTAAGTATCTTTATCTCTCACTATTCTCCGCTTTCACAAAGAAAAGTCACTGGAAAAAAGCACAGACAAAATCTGAGTGTTGCAAGGAAAGAAACAATACTTAATTGAAATGACATTTGCTCTGAGGCTAAGCACTTGAAACCTCAGCTTTTGAATCTCTTATTGATGGTCAATTTTCCTTTAATCATAACCTTAGGTTTGGAATTTCAAGCCAGGGATGATAAAAGGAATTAAGACAAAAATGTTCAGTTGAGGTTCGTGCAATTTGTATGCATATGTTATTTCAAGTCAAAAACAATTCAGTAATATGCAAATAGCATACGGCCTTGAAGTTATGTTGAACACTTGCAGGAAAAAACAATATAATGACTTTTACCAAGTGGAGTAGGAGGGAGTCAACAATTGGCAAAGGAGGAAACATAGCTTTTCCTCCCCCACCCCCTCCATGCACTGTTGTGTCGATGTTCGAGCTACCTACAGAAAACAACAAACACCCCAACTTTGAATGGAGGTGACAGGGGAGGGGTGTGGATTGTTTTGTTCTCTGAAGTTACCCTACTTGAGTACAATGTCTCAACAATTTTGTCTCCGATTGTAGAACTAAATAAAGTGGATCATTTTTTTGGTAACTTTTTCGCCAAACTGTTTTATTATTTACACCTTGACCTTAAAAGCAATAACAAAAATTGCCCTCCTTGATTTCCTTCACCCTTAAATGTTCCAGAGAGGCACAACAGAGAAAATACACGTAACGTTTCTGTTTAATACAATACAATTTGATCATGAAAGCAATCTTATATCCTAACCCTTAATCCTTCTTGTATGCTATTTGCTTTGATAATCTGGCCCTAATCACTGGGTACCTGAGACTGTAAATCCATCCTGAGGTAGTAAAAAACAACCCCACAGCAATAGCGACACTGGCCAGCAAAACAGGTCGCTCCTGTGGATAAATTATTATATTAAGTAACTATTAAGAAAATGTATCCATCCTGCTACCATAATGTTTTATTCTGTCTAAAAATTCCATCCGATTTCTGTGGTTTAACAAAAACAAGAAAACTACAGAGTAGTATGTGTGATAATGCTATTTCAATCCAAGGCTAAATTCAGTGAAACGTTTACCAGTGTAATTACAGGTGAAGCTATTGCTTTCAGACAGTAAAACAATAGTTCCCCCCATAAATAACACTAAAAAAGCTTTCTTGATTGACACCAGGTCTGGACATCTATTTGAGGCTTTGACAAAACCTGGATTGGACTGGACTGGATTAATTCCAGTGACTCATTGAAAGACAAAAGGTTAGAGAAAGGGTTACAAGGGTTAATTCCTCATGGTCTGTCCAGGTATTTTGTGAAAGGCCCATTTTGAGCCAGAATGGCTTCAGTCTGTAGCATGACTGGGGGGTGGGGGGTACAATATTATATGGCTTCATCTGCATCCTCCCCAACACTACAGTTGTTTGCATCATTCTCACATAGCCCATCCCCCCTGGTGGAATCCCCCTTCCCCCACACTAAAGGGATGACTGGTGGTAAGTAATTTATAACTTTGCATACTATTAGCAAAGATTTGGCTACTCACCTCTACAAATCTGACGACTTTCCACGAGACTCCTGGTTTTGATGAGACATCAAGAATCTTTTCCTGGCTCTTTTTGCTTTCAAGATTTAGTAGATCTGCAAACTGCACCCTACTCAACTGAAAATAAGCCATCCATGCCCAAAATACAAACTGACTGGCACAAGCAAGGCCCACCAGACGAAAGAATTTTTGGCGATTGTAATAGTACAGTGTTACTTCTTTTACAGGGGTGTCCTTTTTCCTGGGGTGCGATGAAAGCTTTGCTTTATGTAAGAGCTTAAAATACAGTGAAAATGAGTCAGCCTGCAACAAAATCACTCCATTTATGTATATTATACCACCAACATGTACAAGAAGCCTCTCTAGCTAGTAGAAGCAGAATAAATACCTTATAAAACCTTAAACGGCTAAATAGCAGCACAAATGTTTTCCTCTGATGGCCACAAGTCGAGAAGACAAACATAATTGCAGCGAATTACAGAAATACTGGCTATCTCCGATCCAACATCATACTTCTCGGAGACCATCCGCCATCTTGACTGTACTCGTACCAGCCTCCACGCGGCTAACGAGAGGGTCAGGCGTTGGCTTTGTTTGTATCTTTTTACAGTTTTGGTGCACATCTGAAAGTCATGGAAAGCCCTTAAGTGATTTTTCAAAGCGTCTTTAGAATGCAGGAAACCATCGTGAAGAACACCAGCAGGGAAGGCTAATTTTGTTATTTCAGTGTAGCTCTGGTCCTGAGGAGGGCGACTTTTGTTAGCCTCAATACTGTATTGCCTCCAGTAAATCAGCTCTTTGCCTTAGTGCCAGCTCAAGCTCATCTACATTTGAAAGGTAGCAAGAGGGAACCAGTCAGTTTTATTTACGCGTTGTGTTGGCCCCTGTATTTAAAGGTTTTTACGAAGAGCTAGAGATAAACGTCTGACTCATGTACAAGTCTCGAAGCTTATCTAACCATACTAACAAATTCCCAACGATGGCTAAAGTTTAATTTTCCAGGTTAAGTTTTTTTTCGTAGAAAAACGAAACCTAAAATTTTCGGATTCGAAAATGCGACGGAGAGAGGAATAGAAAAACTTCTTACTTTCGTAATACTTTAAAATGCGTCAAAAAGTTTTGGGAAAATAATACTGAAGCCCTTGTATAAATTTCGGAAAGACTCAAGTTCCCTTAGAATGACCGAACAGATACAATTTTTTTATGGCCGTTTAGAATGCATTTCTAAAGATTTAAAAGTGCTCTGGATAACCTAAGAAGTGTTTTCAATGCATTTAGGAGGAAAATGTCGTTGGGTTCCCCTGTTAGGCCAAGGCCAAAAGTCTAACTTTTGATGAAAAGAACCCAACTCTAATTTGGGACGACCTAAATTAACTCTTAAAACGCGTCGAACCAATAAACTCGGTGAGTCAGGCCAAAAAGCAATCTTGAAATATTTTCTCCGGAACGAGGATAAATATACATTATCATAAAAATTTTTAATTTATTAGTTTAGTTCGTCCCATGCGAAGATCGACGTTTGTCCTATAGACGATCTTCAGACGTTGTATCCGTCTAAAGCAGATGGATAGAATGTCTTGCATCGAAAGAAAGCGGTCTGACTCCATTTTGTCAGTAAGGCTCAAATTTGTAGCACAAGAAAAAATTACCATGATATATACATATAAGCGTTCAGAGAGGAAAAATAATCATGTTAACACGTACCTTGATAAAAAACAAATAGGATCGGAAACAAGATGTCCTGTCCTGTGGGCTTGCCTGGAAGTAAACTCTTACTAGTAGGGAAGCGCCTCAGTAAAATCTGGCACGAAAACACAAATCGAGGACCTGCTCGCAGAGTAGTGGTGTTGAGCTTGCTCGGCAATTAGTTTATTTTTTCTTTGTACTGAGTTGTACAAGGTAAAGGAGGTCGTAATGGCTGAGAAGGAAAAGCAAGCTTTACTGAGAAGAAAACAAACTCTTTAGGTTCAGTGCATTCTGGAACATCTGAGAAACTGCTTTTCGTACATTAAAATTCAATAACAACATCAGTGATTCAATTTATTTCATATCATTCCCACCTAGCAATCGACCTAACCCTTCTCTATTTATTCAGCGAAAAAAAAATTGATTCGATTCTGTTAATTTTAAATTTTGACTTTGTATCATTTGTAATTAACAAAACCTGAGGCTTGGGAAAATCAAGATTATTGTAGAGAACTGAGAAGACTGAGGAGACATCCCGTATCCTCTTTCAACATTAGGTATATATATATATGTAAGTTAAACCAAAGCTTTGTTCCCTTCATATCTTAAAATAAAAACCCTTGAAAATGATCAAAATTGAACTCTTTAAGACTACTTGAAGGTAGGTAATGACTGTTCAGTTTAAGAAAAGTTTTGGTTAGTCTTTTTCACAGGGACGAAAAAAATCATTGCCTTATAAATTAACTGAATTTTCTAGAATCAAAATGATTTATTTGTTGGTTTTTCCTGTTAAAAATTAAAAAGCTACTTCAATCGGAAGTCTTTTCCAAGGGGGAGAGACGGAGAGTTTTTTTAAAGAAAGTAAACGACAAATTGTCACTTAGAATAAATAGAATTTTCTTGTTCGAAACCGATGTAGTTGTTAGTTTATCGTGGAGTTTTCAATTTCTCATTTGTTATGGAGATTTGCGAGTCAAGTTGCCGTTAATCTCTTTTTTATGAAACCTTTATACATAGCGGACATTGAAAAAGAAATTTATTGATTTTTTGTAACCTGCATGTCATGTTTCAGTAAAACAAAAACCGTCTTTCTAGAACTCGCGTTTCTATTAACACAATTACTTTTTATGTTCACATTTGTCTCTAGGAATAGTTTCGTCTTTCTAATTTTTTTCATTCATAGTAACCCTGTCAGTACAGCATTCAGTTGACAGCTCTTAGATCGACTTTTAATAAAAAGAACTTGTAGAACTTACGATCGGAAAACTGTTACATTCAGTTTAGCTTTCATTTGACGTGGATTTATTAGCTTTCAAAAAGAGACCTTCATGAATTTTGCTAATACCATGTTTAAATATTAGGATCTGAAGTACATCTATCTTTTGATGGGAAATGACAGGTAATAAAAAATAACTTCTTTTGGTCGTCAAAATTCCTCACATGAAGCTACTAAGAATACTGCGAAGAATAATACCTAGCCAAACAAAGACCTCTCACCAAGATTTAGCTAATTGCCTTCAATTTTAGAAGTGCCAAAAAGCCTTAAACCCGGGTATCAGAGTAAAGTATGTTTGCAGTAACACTCGCCTTCTGTAACATTTTGAATGCGACAATTTCCTTCGGACCCCATATTTATTGCCTCCGGTCGTGGGTGGGAAAATTAGACTGATCACGAGTGTATAAATAAAACCCTTTATCATTCTTTTCTCTTTGGCGTTGATTCTCAAAACGTCTCAGCTCGAACACTCTCAGGACCACAGTATGATTTTGCCCTCCAGGAAAATTATTTGAAAGATTTGAAATCTCAAAGCTCCACGATTTAATCACAAATCACTTAGCTTTTCAAAGTTTTTTTTCCGGTCGGACTAAGAGCTTTTTTGTCATAAGTTAATTTGGTTTCGGTGAATCTTTCAGAAAAGCTAAGAGGTAAAACAATACGGTTTTGAGTTTTGAAGTTTTGTCGCAGAAGCGACAACAAGCTTGCAGGCTATTGAGCGCGGTAGAAATTAGTATTTTAAAGCCAATAACTACAGAGGTATTAATACTGGTGGTTTCAACCTCTTGGAAGGAAAGAAGAAGGTATTTATATAAGCGCAACAAGTTTTTATTCAACATGCAAATTGTGTCGCCATAAAGGCTGAAACGTGGGTCATGAATGGTAGCAACAGTAGTGTTGTAACCTACGAAACAAACTTTAACACCCACAGCTCAACAGCACCTTCGCGAACTTTTCTCCTGGTCACAGCATGTATACTAATTATTATCATCATAGCTGCAATTATTGGAAATTTATTGGTATGTGTCGCCATTCTTGCTAACAAGCAGCTTCGTTCTTCACCCACCATGTTGTTTATTTTCTCGTTGGCAATCAGCGATCTGTTGACAGCATCTCTCTCCATGCCTTTTGATGTGGATCAACAACTTGTCGGCCACAAATGGACTCATAGCGAGGGCCTCTGCGTGGCATGGACGACTACGTACCTTGTTACTGTACCGTCTTCTATTTGGAACCTTTTAGTAGTGAGCGTTGACCGGTATAAGAGCCTTAAGGATCCATTGAATCGATACCGACAATGCCCTTTTATGACGCGCACAAGAGCGTTCGTGGTGATAGTTTTCGTATGGGTGTATTCCGTACTCTTTGCGCTGATCCCGGTGATGGGGTGGAAATTTCGATCCTATAGCGTGGAAGAAAACATTTGCTATTTCAACATTACAGAGCAATACTCCATACTCAGCTCGGTCGTGAATTTTATCTTTCCACTCTTGGTCATGTGCTTTCTTTATTTCAAGATTTTCATGATTGCGCGAAATATTCAGCACTCAAAGTTTGAAGGTTGTACTTCTGAGCTGATGTCTGCGGATGGAAATTTGGAGAGCGCATTGAAGAGATCAAAGCGACAGAAAAGATATAAGAAAAGATTTAAACGTAACATGAAAGCAGCCAAGAACATTTTAACCATAGTGTGCGCTTTCTTCTTTTGCTGGATGCCTCATACTCTTCTTAGCTTGGCGGTTATTTTTCATGGAGAAGAACAGCCTCGAAAAATCCCACCTGAATTACCTTTTATGTTCTTACTACTGGGCTATCTTAACTGCGCCCTAAATCCTCCACTGTACACCAAAGTGTTGTTTGCGAAATCCCTTTGAATGCACTTTACAGAACCCGATTCTGCCTTCCATAACGTTGGCTTTGCTTCGAGCTTGTTGTGCCGGTACTGGGTAAACCTTGTCCCAAGATGTTACTCTGTATGAAGGGACAACCGGGCGGTTAGGTAAAGCAGCTGGCCGAGAGATCAATGGAAGTAAACTGTCTTGTACTAAGTTACAACAAAAGCAACTGCTTTTTTCTCCAGTATATTATCAAATTAGTCCATGAAAATTGAAAGGCAAGTGGGTATGAAAACGCTAGATCACTTTAAGTGTGGCCAATAGTTACTTGCCAGTGTAGATTCAGTGTCTCACGCGTGAAAGCAGCTGGCTTAGATCAATCTGCTCGGCATGCACCTCTTTATGACTCTAGCCTGTAAAATTTGCCTTTTTTACATCCTTTAGAGTAAACCATCAAAACTGAGCTTAAAATCATTTAATAACTGGCTTTAGGGTAATTTTTGAAATTAATTAGTAATTTTTTTTACTGAGAAACGTTTTCACCTTGTCAAGTGACATTTTGAAATATAAAAGTTTTAGTTTACGTTTAAATATTACAATTTTTGTGGCTTAAAACCTAAACATAAAGTCATCTTGCGATTTTTCACAATGCATGGAAATTACTTAGTAATTATTTCTTTAATTTTCTTTCAGCTGAAATCAGCGACATTTCTTATGAAACTTAAACGAGATTCTAGATTCAGAATCAAGATTT